GTGGGGTGCCGGCGCAAGATTTGTGACACTCGGGTGTTTTTTGGGAGCTGTCAGTAGGAGCCGGGACAAGTGTGAGCAATCTGGTGCACCCCAATCACCCGTGTGAGCTTTGGGGGGGGGGGGTTGCTCCCTGCCAGCGCCCCATCTCAGCCCACGGGAGGAGCAGGGTGAGGCCCTGAGGGTTGGAAGGGGATGGGGATCAGGTGCTGAGGATTAGCAGGAAAGCACCCAATATTGGGCTGGATTTGTTCTTCTTCTGCATTCTGACGGTCTCTGGTGAGGAGACTGCTCGGCTCGCTGACTCCTGGAGCTCTTCCACCCAGGACACCTCCAGAGGGGCCAAGCAGGCTGGTGGGGCCATCCTAGATGCCAATAGTGTCCCCCACAAATTGTCTACTGACATATCCCTGCTCGTTGGCCCCAGCTCAGCCCGTGCTCACCGGCACCAGGCTGTCCTCCCTCAGCCAGCCCAGCCAGCCCCCTCCCGGTGCCTCGGTCCAGCCACGATGGGTTCACTCAGCCCAGCAGAGCCGAGATCCTGCCGGGGGGCTTGGAGCAACCCCAAAGCCCTTCCCTGACACACCCCCCCCCCCCCCCTGCACACTTTGGAGGATGCCTTTCGGTTCAGGCTGGCTCCTGTCCCACCCACTCAGGAAAGAGGACACGCAGCCAGCAGAGCCGCTCGTAGCAGACCCCAGGAGGGAGGTTCAGTTCCCTGGAAAGGTAACGTCACTGGTCTTCAAGAAGGGCAAGGAGGACCTGGGGGACCACGGGTCGGTCAGGCCTGTAACTCCTCTGTCTGGGGTCTGGGGGACATGCTGGCAGCCCTGGCAGCAGCCCCCCATTCGCAGCCTCCTCCTGTCACCGTGGCAACCGCAGATACAAATACCATGGCAACCCCATGGCAACAGCAGAGGCAATGCCACCAGTTCCCGCAGCCCGGAGACGGGCGGATGCCCAAGGCGTGCTGAAGCTGGAGATCTCTTCCTCCGCGTTTCCTGGCCACCACCCTCCCAACCCTGCGGTGGTGACCACCAGTAGCTCTGGCTGGAGGAGGAGGGGGTTGTCCTGCTGCCCCGAGGTGGCCAGACACGGTCATCTCAAACTCATCCATCACCGTCATCCCAGGACTGGGGGAGCAGGTCCCCCCACCCCAGTCCTGCCTCTCCAGATGCTGCAATGAGCTGCTTCATGTCCAACCGGGACCCCCAGGGAGCCCCTTTCAGAGGGCAATTATTTTCCCAGGGACAGGAGCCAGGCTGAACCGAAAGGCATCCTCCAAAGTGGGGGGGTGTCAGGGAAGGGCTTTGGGGTTGCTCCAAGCCCCCCGGCAGGATCTCGGCTCTGCTGGGCTGAGTGAACCCATCGTGGCTGGACCGAGGCACCGGGAGAGGGATGGCTGGGCTGGGCAAGGGACTATCCTGAGCAAACCCTTCCAGGGATGGGGCAGCCACAGCTTCTCCGGGCAACCTGTTCCCACGTCTCACCACCCCCGTAAAGAACTTCTTTTTTATCACCAATCTAAATCTACCATCTTTCAGTTTAAAGATGCTGCCCTTTGTCCTGTCACTACAGGCCCTACAGGTAAAAAGTCTTCCTTCATCTTTCTTGTAACTCCATTCTATATATTGAAACACATAAAAACCACAGTCAGGTCTCCCCGGAGCCTTCTCTTCTCCAGGCTGAACCCCCCCAACTCTCTCAGCCCGGCCCCCCAGGGGAGCTGCTCCAGCCCCCCCAGCATCTCCGTGGCCTCCTCTGGCCCCGCTCGAGCAGCTCCGGGTCCTTCTGCTGTTGGGGGCCCCCGAGCTGGCCCCAGCACTGCAGGGGGGTCTCCCCAGAGCGGAGCAGAGGGGGAGAATCCCCTCCCTGGCCCTGCTGCCCCCCCTGCTCTGGCTGCAGCCCAGGGCACGGGTGGGTTCTGGGCTGCCAGCACACATTTCTGGATCACGTCCATTTTTCGTCCACCGGTATCTCCAGATCCTTCTCTGCAGGACTGCTCTTCATCCCTTCATCCCCCAGTCAGTATTGATACTGGGTGCTGACCCGGCCCCAGTGCAGGACCTTGCACTTGGCCTTGTTGAATTTCATTCGGTTCACATGGACCCACTTCTCCAGGCTGCCAAGGCCCCTTTGGATGGCAACCCTTCCCTCCAGCGAACCAGCTGCACCACGCAGCTTGGTGTCATCTTCAAACTTGCTGAGGTTGTACTCAATTCCACTGCTTATGTCACTGATGAAGATATCCAGCAATATGGTTCCCAATATGGACCCAGGAGGGACACCGCTTGCCACTGATCCCCATTTGGACATAGGGCTGTTGACCGCAACCCTCTGGATGTGGCCGTCCAGCCAATTCCTTATCCACCAAACAGTCCATCCATCAAATCCGTATCTCTCCAATTTAGAGACGAGGATGTCGTGTGGGACCGTGTAAAAGGCCTTGCAGAAGTCAAGAGAAATTATATCAGTTGCTCTTCCCTTACGCACCAACGGAGTCGCTCCATTGTAAAAGGCCACCAGAATGGTCAGGCAGTTTGTCCTTGGTGAAACCATGTCAGCCGTCTCTAGTCAACCCTCTGTCTTCCACACGCCTTGACATGTTTTCCAGAAGGATCTGTTCCATGATTTGGCGGGGCACAGAGGCGAGGCCGACTGGTTGGTAGTTCCCAGTCCTCCTTTTCAATCCTTTTTAAAAATGGGTGTGTCGTTTCCCTTTTTCAAGTCACCGGGGACTTTGCCTGACTGCCAGGACTTTTCAGAGATGAAGAAAGTGGCTTAGAGACTACATCTGCCGGTTCCCTCAGCACCTTGGAGCACGTTTTCAGGTCCCATGGACTTGTGCATGTTCAGATTCCTCATTTGGTTTCCAACCTGATCTTCTCCTAGGAGGGGTGAGACTTCATTCCTCCAGTCCCCTGCCTTGAGAGACAACTGAGAGTTGTGGGAAAAGGAATTGCCACTGAAAACTGAGGTAAAAAAATTCATGAGGACCTCAGCCTGCTCCAGGTCAGCCATCACCAGATCCCCTGTCTCATTTATTGGGTGGCAGTACCACTTCTTTTCATTTTCTGACTAACATACCTACAGAAGTCCTTCTTATTCTTCACATCCCTTGCCAAATTTAGCTCCAGCTGTGCCTTAGCCTTCCTGATCCCATCCCTACACTTCTGGGCAGTATCCCCATACACTCACCACGATGCGCGTCCCTGCTTCCACTGCCTAGGCAATTTTTGACCAGGAGGTCCCTGCTCAGCCATGTTGGTTTCTGTCTTCCTTGACTGATTCCTTGCACATGGCAGTCGATAGTTCTTCTGCTCTAAGAAAAATGTCTTTAAAGAGCTGGCAGCTCTTTTCTGCTCCTTTATCCCTGAGGGCGGTTTCCAAGGGGGTCCTATCCACCAGTTCCTTAAGAAACCGAAAGTTCACACTTTCCTCAGGTTTTGGGTTTTAACTATAATTTTCACCTGACCTATATCCCTCCAGATCATGTATTCCACCAATGCTTAATCACTTCAGCCCAGGCTCCCACCGATCTTGACCTCTCCAGTAAGTTCTTCTGCATTGGTGAGCCACAGGTCCAGTAATGCATCTCCTCTGGTTGGGCTTTCTATCACCTGGATTACGAAGTTATCCTTAATGCACACCAAGGGTCTGCTAGACTGCTTGAAGCTTTGGGCCACTTTTCCAGCCGATGTCCAGCAGAAGTTCCCTAACAGGATTGGGTGAAGGGAAGGAAGAGTTGGGGCTGGAGCCATGGGAGCGATCCTGAAAGGCTCATTGGAGGGACATTCAGAAGCAAGGATGAAGCGGGGGCCTGGGATGGAGCAGCTGGGAACTTGTTGGTCACCTCAGGGTGGGGACGAGGCACAGAGTGGCCCCATTGCCTGAACCCCACTGCCAGCGCTGTCCCTGACACCCTCATAGCCCTGGAGGTCACTGCCCCCTGTTCATGCAACAACCGAAGAGCTAGCCCTTGGGGATGTCTTCAAATACTACTGTTTTAATCTCTCGATAAAGGTTGGGTTTCACTTTTGGGTTCTCCACCGCCATCTCACGCTAGTGTGGAGAGGGCTCACCGCTGGCTGCTTTTCCAGATGAGCCCTTTTCTCTCTCCCAGCGTCTGCCTGGCTGCTTCCCAGTCACAGCCTGGTTTCTTTCCCGCTGCCTCTCCTTCAGCATGACACAGATGAGCCCTGCGAGCTTCTTTTGCCCTGTGAGCTCCTGAGCAGGTACCAGAGCTCGGGGCCAGGCAAGATCCCCCACAGTGACATCATGTCAACACACAACGGCTCCCCACGGCCCCCCAGGACCCGTAGACCCGGTGTCCCCAAGAAGGGACATCTGCCAGTACAGTAGGGACAAGCCCCTGTTGCCTTTCTCAAAGGCGCGCGGTGGCCCGGTTCAGGAACAGCACGGCAACCAGTCCCAGGTTGCGTGGTCCATCAGCACACATACACCAATGTGGTGGAGGCAAAATGGTGTTTATTGTTAGTTTACATTGCCTTATATAGTCTGAGTCTACTTCGTCACTTCCACCTGCTCACGTTAAGGGTCCATGTCTCTTGGTTATAGGGAGGGAGGCTCTACCTTTCCGTACAACGCGATATCTTCTGGTCGCCGGACCCTAACTACCACAGACCATGAAGAAGACCACGGTGAAGCAGGTTGTCCTCCCATGAGCCACAGAGAACCATGCCAAGGCAGATATCCACACTGCATCCATGGAGGACCCCACACTGCGGTAAGTGGAGATGCCCTGAAGGACGGTGCTGCCTCTGGAGGGGATTCCACCATTTTCTGGCAGAAATGGCAGCCCCTGGGCAAAACCAAGGATGAAGCAGCCTGGGAAGGGCTGTATCAATTTGGTGGGACGCCACGTAGGAGCAGGGGAACAGCGGCAAAGACAAAGTGTTATGGAGTGATGGCAACCCTCATTCCTCATCCCTCTTTGCCCCCTGAAGAAGAGGTGGTCAAACAGTTGGGAATGGAAGAGCCATGTTGAACCTGGGAAGAAGATGGAGTGGGGGGAAGGTGGTTTTACTTTTTTTTTATTATTATCATACAGTAATTGGAAATAAATTGGATTGGGCTCCCTCGAATAGAGGCTGCTTTGCCTGCGAGGGTGGTCGGGGGACAGTTCTCCCAGAACCACGGCGCTGTGGGTCAGGAGGGGCTTTTGGAGAAGAGCATGGGGTGCCAGCCCCTGCCGAGCGCAGAGACACCTTCCCGCAGCCCCCGTCACCCCCAGCCCCACCCAGCCTGGCCAGAGAGGGACAGTCCTGGCCCAGACTGACAACCAAAGGGCGGAGGCGCGCTGAGGGAACCCTCAGGGAGAACCGTCTGTTGGCTGACCTGCACCCTTTTGGCTCATCGCTCCTCAAGCTTACAGGCTCTGCAGTCGGTTGTGCAGCACCAACCCCTCTTGCGTCCCTGAACCCGGGGTTTGCCACCGCTGTCTACGTTTACGGGATTCTGATGAAAGGCCCAGATCTCGTTGAAGCTAAGAGCTGCCCCAGCTCGACGGCGTGTGCCTGCGCGACGGCAGCTCCTCAGCCTGGATGGCAATGTGGCAGGGAAAGCCTTGAGGCAAGCTGGCCCAACCTGCGGCCCACCCTTCCCCCTCAGGTTTCCCTGCAGCCACACAAATGCCTGACAGGCTTGTCCAGGTCAGCCCTCTCCAGCAGGAATAAGCCGAGCCATGAAGAGAGCAGTGCAGCCGCCCCAGCCCCTCTACTCGGTGAGGACCTGCTGGAACATGAGGGGGTTCCTCTCTTACCAGAGTCATTTGTCACCTTCACGCAAGAGGGAGCCCAGAGGGACCTGCCCTGCCCGCTCCCCACCAGCTTTGGGCCATGTCCTGGGGGGCGGTGACCCCCCAAACCCTGACACAGGGGCTCCTCTCTGGGGCGGCTGCTCCCCGATGGCTTCACAACCTCCTGCACCAGCGCAGCCCCGGGTCACCGTGGCAGCCATTTAGTGTCGGCGCGATGTCACCATTGCATCACAATCGTGGCCCTTGTTTTAGGGGGCTGAAGGAGGCTCAGCTGCCGCTTGGACTGCATGCCAGCCAAGGAGCGTTTGGACAGGAGTGGGAAAACCACCTCGGAGATGGCAGGAAAATCCCACAAGCAGGTAGAAGCGGGGTGATTTGGCATCACCCCAACCTCTCCTCCCCTGGTGGCATCCCGCCGGGTTTTTCGGCCTCCCCAGCTCTGACCCCTCTGCACACCCCTTGTCACACAGAACCACTGGAAGAGAATATTCTTGTGCTCCCTGCAAGAGATGGAGGAGTGGAAGCTGACACTGCTGATCTTCACCTCCAGCCTGAGCCTGTGGGGGCTCCTCATGCTGGTGCTGCCCTGCGGCCCCAGCCTCTTGGCTGTCCTGGCTCTGGGCATCCTCCTGGGCTGCTGGCCCATGGGCAAGGCCAAGGTAGGTGTCTGCCTGGCATCACCCCAAACGCTCCCATCAGGGGGCAGAGCCTGTCCTCAGGGTGCTCAGGAGGGGCCCCATTTTGGGAGGAGGGAGCAGTGAGCAGTGGCTGTTGCCCACCCAGCCCGGCCCCCGTTCGGGGGCCACTCCTGTCCCTGCGGCTCCACTGCCCCCTTTCCAGGGCTCACTAACCCAGGCCTCGCTTTCTGGGGACAGGGGACCTCTGCGGAGAGGAACAGATGGAGAAGCCAGAGGAAGAAGGATGACGTGATGGGTAGGTGAAGCAGCCCCAGAGCTGCGCCGGACTCCGCAGAGGCTCCCAGCTGAGGGACGTCATTGTACCTGCAGCCCTCGTGCCAGCTGCCCCTCTGCTTCCTTCCCCAGCCACAGTCTTCGTCCCAAGCAAAGGCCTGGAGTGCATCATGAGGAGCCAGGTGGAAGAGTAAGCCCTTATGGAGGCCCACTCGTGGGTCCCTCTGCCCTGTGCAGCTGGAGGGGGGGTGAGAGCGGGATGCGGCCCCCATCCCAGAGCTGGCAGGGCTGGCTCCGGGGATCTGGGAGATCGCCCAGGCGGGAAAAGACAGAGAGGGGCTGCTGGGTCCACGCTGTCCCACCGGTGGCAGCCCCCACAGCCCAGATGTTCCCCCCACAGGAGCTGGAAGCTCCATGGAGGAGACTGGAGGGCAATCGGCTTCGGCGATGAAGCGGCTGCTGCAGGGGAGCTCCCGCAGGAAAAAGGAGACGGGGCTCAAGGTGGGAATGTCAGTGCTGCCACCAGCTTGGAGCTCCTCCCGAACCAGCCCTCCTTGGACAGCGTGGAAGAGCTCGCCACGTCCCTGATGGAGTCCCTGGACATGGCCCAACTCTGCCGTGACCTGCTGGGAAAACTGAAGGAATCTGTCAACTGCAACGCCGCGACCCCCTGCAAGGACGTCAGGCAGGAGTACGTGGTGTGCCTGCAGTGCCGTCAGTGCCTCACCTGCTGCTGCCTGTACTGCAGCGAGGCCGCAGCTGATCAGCACCTGCCCACGCTGGCCACCATCCTGCACTCCGTGGACTTGCTGGTGCACGAGGAGGAGGTTCAGGTGGAAGTGGGGCTGTGCTTTGAGCTGGCCCTCGGCGGGGAGCTGTTCCACGGGTGGGAGGTAACCCAGAGGTTCCCCGAAATACCCCCGGAGAGGTGCTGCCAGGAGTGCGGCGCGCCTCTGCCCAAGAGCCCTGGGCACGGCGAGAGTTCTTGGCCAGCGGTCCCCAACCCCAGCGCCCAGGGCACAGCAAAGGGGCCCGAAGGAGGTGCAGACCTGCAGCCAGCTGGGCCGGGGGTGCCTCTCCCCACCGCAGTCCCCACGTGGCCCCTGCCCCCCTGGGCACAGCCCCCCTCTCCTGAGGCCCTGGACCAGCTCCAGAACGCTGGGATGGAGCCCCTGCCCTCAGTGGGGTACAGGGCCGGGGAGCAGGGGCTCAGTCTTAAGTGCTTCCGTCGGTGCTGCGCCAAACTGAAGGATAAACTGCAGAGGTGCGTAGCAACGGAGTGCTGCTGCTTGATGGTGGAAGGGAGCGTGGCACCCAGTGGCGCTGCAGAAGAGGACCAGACGCTGCCCTTGGAGAGCCTGTTTACGGCCGACACGCTCTGCCATCACACGGGGATAGAGGCATGAGGGAACCCCACCAGAAGTGGAGGGTGAGGTCCTGCCACACTCACCCTCAGCCGCACCGGGGCCAGCCAGACACTGAGGTTCCACTGTTGGGAAAATGTTGCAATGCAGTGCTGCTGCACAAGCTGTTCTATCAGCTCTGTCCCCTGTATAGCCCCAGCCCAGGGCTGCAAGCACAGTCAACTGAATAGAGCATCAATACAATGTTGTAACAAAGGTAATGATGGGCCTGACAGTTCAAAGGATGTTGATGTATGAGAAACTGGCCCTTAGCTACCGAAGTGATGGGAGATCTATCATTGTGGCTACTAAGAACTGAGACGTACAGAACTTGAGGTAATCGTCCTTGAAGACTAAAAGAAAGAAGAAACAAAACAACGAAGTAGTGGGAATCCAGAACAAGATGTGAAACCCACTGTCAAGATAATAATGACTGATAAAGTATAATTCTGTGTATTTTGGATTAGGTAATGCTTTGTAGGTGCATAAATACATGTGTGCGAACTCATGTAAGCTGTCACTCTCTGCGGAGGTGACCCAACGCTGCTGGACCTGAATAAAATCCTAGAGTAACCCACGACGGAGTTCGAGTCTCCTTTAACATCCACTCAGGGTGGAAGAAGTCCCAGAGCTGCTGGACTGGGTCAGAGTCCCCAACAAGGACAGCCCGGGGCACGTGTGACAAGATGGCCAACCTTCCTGTACCACCCGCAGCTGCAGGACCTTGCTGTTCCTGTCCCCATCCTGCCCAGAAGGGAGGGCAGAGCCCACACTGGTTTGCTCCCTGTGCAGCCACGGGACCAAGGACAAGAGGAACCCTCCAGCGCCTCGTGCTCCCGTCTCTGGAGGCCTCCAGCAGCAGAGAACCCCCCAAGCACAGCCGCCAGCGCTCTCCCCACAAATGCGAGACCTTGGCGCAGAAAGTCAGGCTCTTCCAGTATAAAACAGAACTGCCACTCCAACAGGTCTTTGTTTACTGACATCGACGGGGAGGGCTACGAGGGTGTTGGGGACAGTGCTGGCAGTAGGGGGGGGACAGGCATCGGGGCTGCTCTGGGGCTCATTCCCACACTGGCGGGGCTGGGGTGGCCCCGGCTGCTCCCACCCAGGTCCCTGCTTCAGCCTTGTCACTGTCTGTCCCTCCAAAGAGCCTTTGGATGCAGCCCCAGCTCTGCCTCCCCTTCCCCTGGGGCTCAGCTCCCCGGGAGGGCACTGGCCACGGCCCCAGAGGGTCTACGAGACCCCCAGCCCCGCAGTAGCCACCCGGGCACCTCTGCCAGCCCCGCGGAGGGGTGCGCGGCCTCGGGATCGGCACCGCCCTCCAGCCCCAGCTCTCTGGCACCAGAGCCACCAACGACACCCGCGGCAGGGGAGAGAAGGCAGGAGGCCCAGGAGGCCCCAGCACGCCAGCCAACTCTCACACGGAGCACATCGGTCCCTCACCGTCACGCCAACCAGCCGCCCGTCAGCCCGGCGCTCGCTCCTTCCCCTCAGTGTCCCGGCCGCTCTGCCCCGCGCATGCGCAGCAACGCTCGCTGCTCTGGGGAGGGCGCCGCGCGCCCTGCGGTGGCGGGAAGATTCCAGCGCATGCGCGGCCGCGCCGTCCGCCCGGACAACCCCCCTTCCCCGCCCTTCTCCCGCCGTGCCCTAAGCGCATGCGCGGCACCGGCGTTGCTAGGCGACGCCGGCGGACGCTCGCGCCGCGCATGCGCGGTAGCTCCCCCCTTTCTCCCCTGGAAGGGGGAGGCCGGGCCGCCATGAGCCGGCAAGCGGGCGCCGATGTGACGGAGGGTTGGCGGGCCCCGAGCCCGGGCCTCAGCCACCCCGGCCCCGAGGAGCGCATCGCCGCCCGCCTCGATGCCAAGCGCCGGTGAGACACGGGGCTGGTCCCCGCTGCCCGGGTTGTCAGGGCCTGCACCCCCGTTCGGCTCCGTCCCCCCTCCCCACATCGCAGCTGGGTCCCGGCCCCTCCCCGCCCCACCCGTCACAAAGTCCCTCACCTTCTCCCCAGACCCCACGTCTGGTCACAGATGAGCTCCCCTGCCCCAAAATGGTACTGGGATTGATGCCCCTGACGTGCGGAAATAGACTCCACAATCTGATAGATTGTAAAGTAGGTATGTTTATTCAGCGCTGAGGTACACAGGGGATAACTCCTCCTATTGTGTACCCCACGTATGGTGCTGTTACCTAAGATTTATAGAGCAAATGATTACATATTCATAATATTTCGCAATACGCCTATACATATGCAACACCTATCCCCGCTTCGTATTATAATTAGCATTTCCATAATCTCCTCCTAGTTGAGTCTGCGCAGTGTCTTCTGGTGGTGGTCGTGGGGGTCTTTGGGGATGAAGTCAAGCTCCTCTTCCTCCTGTCCGCTCTGTGACCCCAGGTTTTGCGCAGACTCAGTTTCTTACTGGCTGTTGTCCAAACCGCGGGTGTAGTTCCAACCGGCTTAATACTGATAAAGCCTAGAGAGCTCACCGTGTTTTACAAACTGTCTGTTCACTAAGCAGAACTGTTAACCGTTATCTAAACTATTTCCCTTGAACTATTTTCTTTTGTTATCCCCTTCTTGCTATTATCCCCTTCTTGCTATTCTCATGTTAACCCTTACATCCCCTGTTCCTATCTTGGCCCTGTATCACTAGGAGGGGTGAGACTTCATTCCTCCAGTCCCCTGCCTTGAGAGACAACTGAGAGTTGTGGGAAAAGGAATTGCCACTGAAAACTGAGGTAAAAAAATTCATGAGGACCTCAGCCTGCTCCAGGTCAGCCATCACCAGATCCCCTGTCTCATTTATTGGGTGGCAGTACCACTTCTTTTCATTTTCTGACTAACATACCTACAGAAGTCCTTCTTATTCTTCACATCCCTTGCCAAATTTAGCTCCAGCTGTGCCTTAGCCTTCCTGATCCCATCCCTACACTTCTGGGCAGTATCCCCATACACTCACCACGATGCGCGTCCCTGCTTCCACTGCCTAGGCAATTTTTGACCAGGAGGTCCCTGCTCAGCCATGTTGGTTTCTGTCTTCCTTGACTGATTCCTTGCACATGGCAATCGATAGTTCTTCTGCTCTAAGAAAAATGTCTTTAAAGAGCTGGCAGCTCTCTGCTGCTCCTTTATCCCTGAGGGCGGTTTCCAAGGGGGTCCTATCCACCAGTTCCTTAAGAAACCGAAAGTTCACACTTTCCTCAGGTTTTGGGTTTTAACTATAATTTTCACCTGACCTATATCCCTCCAGATCATGTATTCCACCAATGCTTAATCACTTCAGCCCAGGCTCCCACCGATCTTGACCTCTCCAGTAAGTTCTTCTGCATTGGTGAGCCACAGGTCCAGTAATGCATCTCCTCTGGTTGGGCTTTCTATCACCTGGATTACGAAGTTATCCTTAATGCACACCAAGGGTCTGCTAGACTGCTTGAAGCTTTGGGCCACTTTTCCAGCCAATGTCCAGCAGAAGTTCCCTAGCAGGATTGGGTGAAGGGAAGGAAGAGTTGGGGCTGGAGCCATGGGAGCGATCCTGAAAGGCTCATTGGAGGGACATTCAGAAGCAAGGATGAAGCGGGGGCCTGGGATGGAGCAGCTGGGAACTTGTTGGTCACCTCAGGGTGGGGACGAGGCACAGAGTGGCCCCATTGCCTGAACCCCACTGCCAGCGCTGTCCCTGACACCCTCATAGCCCTGGAGGTCACTGCCCCCTGTTCATGCAACAACCGAAGAGCTAGCCCTTGGGGATGTCTTCAAATACTACTGTTTTAATCTCTCGATAAAGGTTGGGTTTCACTTTTGGGTTCTCCACCGCCATCTCACGCTAGTGTGGAGAGGGCTCACCGCTGGCTGCTTTTCCAGATGAGCCCTTTTCTCTCTCCCAGCGTCTGCCTGGCTGCTTCCCAGTCACAGCCTGGTTTCTTTCCCGCTGCCTCTCCTTCAGCATGACACAGATGAGCCCTGCGAGCTTCTTTTGCCCTGTGAGCTCCTGAGCAGGTACCAGAGCTCGGGGCCAGGCAAGATCCCCCACAGTGACATCATGTCAACACACAACGGCTCCCCACGGCCCCCCAGGACCCGTAGACCCGGTGTCCCCAAGAAGGGACATCTGCCAGTACAGTAGGGACAAGCCCCTGTTGCCTTTCTCAAAGGCGCGCGGTGGCCCGGTTCAGGAACGGCACGGCAACCAGTCCCAGGTTGCGTGGTCCATCAGCACACATACACCAATGTGGTGGAGGCAAAATGGCGTTTATTGTTAGTTTACATTGCCTTATATAGTCTGAGTCTACTTCGTCACTTCCACCTGCTCACGTTAAGGGTCCATGTCTCTTGGTTATAGGGAGGGAGGCTCTACCTTTCCGTACAACGCGATATCTTCTGGTCGCCGGACCCTAACTACCACAGACCATGAAGAAGACCACGGTGAAGCAGGTTGTCCTCCCATGAGCCACAGAGAACCATGCCAAGGCAGATATCCACACTGCATCCATGGAGGACCCCACACTGCGGTAAGTGGAGATGCCCTGAAGGACGGTGCTGCCTCTGGAGGGGATTCCACCATTTTCTGGCAGAAATGGCAGCCCCTGGGCAAAACCAAGGATGAAGCAGCCTGGGAAGGGCTGTATCAATTTGGTGGGACGCCACGTAGGAGCAGGGGAACAGCGGCAAAGACAAAGTGTTATGGAGTGATGGCAACCCTCATTCCTCATCCCTCTTCGCCCCCTGAAGAAGAGGTGGTCAAACAGTTGGGAATGGAAGAGCCATGTTGAACCTGGGAAGAAGATGGAGTGGGGGGAAGGTGGTTTTACTTTTTTTTTATTATTATCATACAGTAATTGGAAATAAATTGGATTGGGCTCCCTCGAATAGAGGCTGCTTTGCCTGCGAGGGTGGTCGGGGGACAGTTCTCCCAGAACCACGGCGCTGTGGGTCAGGAGGGGCTTTTGGAGAAGAGCATGGGGTGCCAGCCCCTGCCGAGCGCAGAGACACCTTCCCGCAGCCCCCGTCACCCCCAGCCCCACCCAGCCTGGCCAGAGAGGGACAGTCCTGGCCCAGACTGACAACCAAAGGGCGGAGGCGCGCTGAGGGAACCCTCAGGGAGAACAGTCTGTTGGCTGACCTGCACCCTTTTGGCTCATCGCTCCTCAAGCTTACAGGTTCTGCAGTCGGTTGTGCAGCACCAACCCCTCTTGCGTCCCTGAACCCGGGGTTTGCCACCGCTGTCTACGTTTACGGGATTCTGATGAAAGGCCCAGATCTCGTTGAAGCTAAGAGCTGCCCCAGCTCGACGGCGTGTGCCTGCGCGATGGCAGCTCCTCAGCCTGGATGGCAATGTGGCCAGGAAAGCCTTGAGGCAAGCTGGCCCGACCTGCGGCCCACCCTTCCCCCTCAGGTTTCCCTGCAGCCACACAAACGCCTGACAGGCTTGTCCAGGCCAGCCCTCTCCAGCAGGAATAAGCCGAGCCATGAAAAGAGCAGTGCAGCCGCCCCAGCCCCTCTACTCGGTGAGGACCTGCTGGAACATGAGGGGGTTCCTCTCGTACCAGAGTCATTTGTCACCTTCATGCAAGAGGGAGCCCAGAGGGACCTGCCCTGCCTGCTCCCCACCAGCTTTGGGCCATGTCCTGGGGGGCGCTGACCCCCCAAACCCTGACACAGGGGCTCCTCTCTGGGGCGGCTGCTCCCCGATGGCTTCACAACCTCCTGCACCAGCGCAGCCCCGGGTCACCGTGGCAGCCATTTAGTGTCGGCGCGATGTCACCATTGCATCACAATCGTGGCCCTTGTTTTAGGGGGCTGAAGGAGGCTCCGCTGCCGCTTGGACTGCATGCCAGCCAAGGAGCGTTTGGACAGGAGTGGGAAAACCACCTCGGAGATGGCAGGAAAATCCCACAAGCAGGTAGAAGCGGGGTGATTTGGCATCACCCCAACCTCTCCTCCCCTGGTGGCATCCTGCCGGGTTTTTCGGCCTCCCCAGCTCTGACCCCTCTGCACACCCCTTGTCACACAGAACCACTGGAAGAGAATATTCTTGTGCTCCCTGCAAGAGATGGAGGAGTGGAAGCTGACACTGCTGATCTTCACCTCCAGCCTGAGCCTGTGGGGCCTCCTCATGCTGGTGCTGCCCTGCGGCCCCAGCCTCTTGGCTGTCCTGGCTCTGGGCATCCTCCTGGGCTGCTGGCCCATGGGCAAGGCCAAGGTAGGTGTCTGCCTGGCATCACCCCAAACGCTCCCAGCAGGGGGCAGAGCCTGTCCTCAGGGTGCTCAGGAGGGGCCCCGTTTTGGGAGGAGGGAGCAGTGAGCAGTGGCTGTTGCCCACCCAGCCCGGCCCCCGTTCGGGGGCCATTCCTGTCCCTGCGGCTCCACTGACCCCTTCCCAGGGCTCACTAACCCAGGCCTCGCTTTCTGGGGACAGGGGACCTCTGCGGAGAGGAACAGATGGAGAAGCCGGAGGAAGAAGGATGACGTGATGGGTAGGTGAAGCAGCCCCAGAGCTGCGCCGGACTCCGCAGAGGCTCCCAGCTGAGGGACGTCATTGTACCTGCAGCCCTCGTGCCAGCTGCCCCTCTGCTTCCTTCCCCAGCCACAGTCTTCGTCCCAAGCAAAGGCCTGGAGTGCATCATGAGGAGCCAGGTGGAAGAGTAAGCCCTTATGGAGGCCCACTCGTGGGTCCCTCTGCCCTGTGCAGCTGGAGGGGGGGTGAGAGCGGGATGCGGCCCCGATCCCAGAGCTGGCAGGGCTGGCTCCGGGGATCTGGGAGATCGCCCAGGCGGGAAAAGACAGAGAGGGGCTGCTGGGTCCACGCTGTCCCACCGGTGGCAGCCCCCACAGCCCAGATGTTCCCCCCACAGGAGCTGGAAGCTCCATGGAGGAGACTGGAGGGCAATCGGCTTCGGCGATGAAGCAGCTGCTGCAGGGGAGCTCCCGCAGGAAAAAGGAGACGGGGCTCAAGGTGGGAATGTCAGTGCTGCCACCAGCTTGGAGCTCCTCCCGAACCAGCCCTCCTTGGACAGCGTGGAAGAGCTCGCCACGTCCCTGATGGAGTCCCTGGACATGGCCCAACTCTGCCGTGACCTGCTGGGAAAACTGAAGGAATCTGTCAACTGCAACGCTGCGACCCCCTGCAAGGACGTCAGGCAGGAGTACGTGGTGTGCCTGCAGTGCCGTCAGTGCCTCACCTGCTGCTGCCTGTACTGCAGCGAGGCCGCAGCTGATCAGCACCTGCCCACGCTGGCCACCATCCTGCACTCCGTGGACTTGCTGGTGCACGAGGAGGAGGTTCAGGTGGAAGTGGGGCTGTGCTTTGAGCTGGCCCTCGGCGGGGAGCTGTTCCACGGGTGGGAGGTAACCCAGAGGTTCCCCGAAATACCCCCGGAGAGGTGCTGCCAGGAGTGCGGCGCGCCTCTGCCCAAGAGCCCTGGGCACGGCGAGAGTTCTTGGCCAGCGGTCCCCAACCCCAGCGCCCAGGGCACAGCAAGGGGGCCCGAAGGAGGTGCAGACCTGCAGCCAGCTGGGCCGGGGGTGCCTCTCCCCACCGCAGTCCCCACGTGGCCCCTGCCCCCCTGGGCACAGCCCCCCTCTCCTGAGGCCCTGGACCAGCTCCAGAACGCTGGGATGGAGCCCCTGCCCTCAGTGGGGTACAGGGCCGGGGAGCAGGGGCTCAGTCTTAAGTGCTTCCGTCGGTGCTGCGCCAAACTGAAGGATAAACTGCAGAGGTGCGTAGCAACGGAGTGCTGCTGCTTGATGGTGGAAGGGAGCGTGGCACCCAGTGGCGCTGCAGAAGAGGACCAGACGCTGCCCTTGGAGAGCCTGTTTACAGCCGACACGCTCTGCCATCACACGGGGATAGAGGCATGAGGGAACCCCACCAGAAGTGGAGGGTGAGGTCCTGCCACACTCACCCTCAGCCGCACCGGGGCCAGCCAGACACTGAGGTTCCACTGTTGGGAAAATGTTGCAATGCAGTGCTGCTGCACAAGCTGTTCTATCAGCTCTGTCCCCTGTATAGCCCCAGCCCAGGGCTGCAAGCACAGTCAACTGAATAGAGCATCAATACAATGTTGTAACAAAGGTAATGATGGGCCTGACAGTTCAAAGGATGTTGATGTATGAGAAACTGGCCCTTAGCTACCGAAGCGATGGGAGATCTATCATTGTGGCTACTAAGAACTGAGACGTACAGAACTTGAGGTAATCGTCCTTGAAGACTAAAAGAAAGAAGAAACAAAACAACGAAGTAGTCGGAATCCAGAACAAGATGTGAAACCCACTGTCAAGATAATAATGACTGATAAAGTATAATTCTGTGTATTTTGGATTAGGTAATGCTTTGTAGGTGCATAAATACATGTGTGCGAACTCATGTAAGCTGTCACTCTCTGCGGAGGTGACCCAACGCTGCTGGACCTGAATAAAATCCTAGAGTAACCCACGACGGAGTTCGAGTCTCCTTTAACATCCACTCAGGGTGGAAGAAGTCCCAGAGCTGCTGGACTGGGTCAGAGTCCCCAACAAGGACAGCCCGGGGCACGTGTGACAAGATGGCCAACCTTCCTGTACCACCCGCAGCTGCAGGACCTTGCTGTTCCTGTCCCCATCCTGCCCAGAAGGGAGGGCAGAGCCCACACTGGTTTGCTCCCTGTGCAGCCACGGGACCAAGGACAAGAGGAACCCTCCAGCGCCTCGTGCTCCCGTCTCTGGAGGCCTCCAGCAGCAGAGAACCCCCCAAGCACAGCCGCCAGCGCTCTCCCCACAAATGCGAGACCTTGGCGCAGAAAGTCAGGCTCTTCCAGTATAAAACAGAACTGCCACTCCAACAGGTCTTTGTTTACTGACATCGACGGGGAGGGCTACGAGGGTGTTGGGGACAGTGCTGGCAGTAGGGGGGGGACAGGCATCGGGGCTGCTCTGGGGCTCATTCCCACACTGGTGGGGCTGGGGTGGCCCCGGCTGCTCCCACCCAGGTCCCTGCTTCAGCCTTGTCACTGTCTGTCCCTCCAAGGAGCCTTTGGATGCAGCCCCAGCTCTGCCTCCCCTTCCCCTGGGGCTCAGCTCCCCGGGAGGGCACTGGCCACGGCCCCAGAGGGTCTACGAGACCCCCAGCCCCGCAGTAGCCACCCGGGCACCTCTGCCAGCCCCGCGGAGGGGTGCGCGGCCTCGGGATCGGCACCGCCCTCCAGCCCCAGCTCTCTGGCACCAGAGCCACCAACGACACCCGCGGCAGGGGACAGAAGGCAGGAGGCCCAGGAGGCCCCAGCACGCCAGCCAACTCTCACACGGAGCACATCGGTCCCTCACCGTCACGCCAACCAGCCGCCCGTCAGCCCGGCGCTCGCTCCTTCCCCTCAGTGTCCCGGCCGCTCTGCCCCGCGCATGCGCAGCAACGCTCGCTGCTCTGGGGAGGGCGCCGCGCGCCCTGCGGTGGCGGGAAGATTCCAGCGCATGCGCGGCCGCGCCGTCCGCCCGGACAACCCCCCTTCCCCGCCCTTCTTCCGCCGTGCCCTACGCGCATGCGCGGCACCGGCGTTGCTAGGCGACGCCGGCGGACGCTCGCGCCGCGCATGCGCGGTAGCTCCCCCCTTTCTCCCCTGGAAGGGGGAGGCCGGGCCGCCATGAGCCGGCAAGCGGGCGCCGATGTGACGGAGGGTTGGCGGGCCCCGAGCCCGGGCCTCAGCCACCCCGGCCCCGAGGAGCGCATCGCCGCCCGCCTCGATGCCAAGCGCCGGTGAGACACGGGGCTGGTCCCCGCTGCCCGGGTTGTCAGGGCCTGCACCCCCGTTCGGCTCCGTCCCCCCTCCCCAAATCGCAGCTGGGTCCCGGCCCCTCCCCGCCCCACCCGTCACAAAGGCCCTCACCTTCTCCCCAGACCCCACGTCTGGTCACAGATGAGCTCCCCTGCCCCAAAATGGTACTGGGATTGATGCCCCTGACGTGCGGAAATAGACTCCACAATCTGATAGATTGTAAAGTAGGTATGTTTATTCAGCGCTGAGGTACACAGGGGATAACTCCTCCTATTGTGTACCCCACGTATGGTGCTGTTACCTAAGATTTATAGAGCAAATGATTACATATTCATAATATTTCGCAATACGCCTATACATATGCAACACCTATCCCCGCTTCGTATTATAATTAGCATTTCCATAATCTCCTCCTAGTTGAGTCTGCGCAGTGTCTTCTGGTGGTGGTCGTGGGGGTCTTTGGGGATGAAGTCAAGCTCCTCTTCCTCCTGTCCGCTCTGTGACCCCAGGTTTTGCGCAGACTCAGTTTCTTACTGGCTGTTGTCCAAACCGCGGGTCTAGTTCCAACCAGCTTAATACTGATAAAGCCTAGAGAGCTCACCGTGTTTTACAAACTGTCTGTTCACTAAGCAGAACTGTTAACCGTTATCTAAACTATTTCCCTTGAACTATTTTCTTTTGTTATCCCCTTCTTGCTATTATCCCCTTCTTGCTATTCTCATGTTAACCCTTACATCCCCTGTTCCTATCTTGGCCCTGTATCACTAGGAGGGGTGAGACTTCATTCCTCCAGTCCCCTGCCTTGAGAGACAACTGAGAGTTGTGGGAAAAGGAATTGCCACTGAAAACTGAGGTAAAAAAATTCATGAGGACCTCAGCCTGCTCCAGGTCAGCCATCACCAGATCCCCTGTCTCATTTATTGGGTGGCAGTACCACTTCTTTTCATTTTCTGACTAACATACCTACAGAAGTCCTTCTTATTCTTCACATCCCTTGCCAAATTTAGCTCCAGCTGTGCCTTAGCCTTCCTGATCCCATCCCTACACTTCTGGGCAGTATCCCCATACACTCACCACGATGCGCGTCCCTGCTTCCACTGCCTAGGCAATTTTTGACCAGGAGGTCCCTGCTCAGCCATGTTGGTTTCTGTCTTCCTTGACTGATTCCTTGCACATGGCAATCGATAGTTCTTCTGCTCTAAGAAAAATGTCTTTAAAGAGCTGGCAGCTCTTTTCTGCTCCTTTATCCCTGAGGGCGGTTTCCAAGGGGGTCCTATCCACCAGTTCCTTAAGAAACCGAAAGTTCACACTTTCCTCAGGTTTTGGGTTTTAACTATAATTTTCACCTGACCTATATCCCTCCAGATCATGTATTCCACCAATGCTTAATCACTTCAGCCCAGGCTCCCACCGATCTTGACCTCTCCAGTAAGTTCTTCTGCATTGGTGAGCCACAGGTCCAGTAATGCATCTCCTCTGGTTGGGCTTTCTATCACCTGGATTACGAAGTTATCCTTAATGCACACCAAGGGTCTGCTAGACTGCTTGAAGCTTTGGGCCACTTTTCCAGCCAATGTCCAGCAGAAGTTCCCTAGCAGGATTGGGTGAAGGGAAGGAAGAGTTGGGGCTGGAGCCATGGGAGCGATCCTGAAAGGCTCATTGGAGGGACATTCAGAAGCAAGGATGAAGCGGGGGCCTGGGATGGAGCAGCTGGGAACTTGTTGGTCACCTCAGGGTGGGGACGAGGCACAGAGTGGCCCCATTGCCTGAACCCCACTGCCAGCGCTGTCCCTGACACCCTCATAGCCCTGGAGGTCACTGCCCCCTGTTCATGCAACAACCGAAGAGCTAGCCCTTGGGGATGTCTTCAGATACTACTGTTTTAATCTCTCGATAAAGGTTGGGTTTCACTTTTGGGTTCTCCACCGCCATCTCACGCTAGTGTGGAGAGGGCTCACCGCTGGCTGCTTTTCCAGATGAGCCCTTTTCTCTCTCCCAGCGTCTGCCCGGCTGCTTCCCAGTCACAGCCTGGTTTCTTTCCCGCTGCCTCTCCTTCAGCATGACACAGATGAGCCCTGCGAGCTTCTTTTGCCCTGTGAGCTCCTGAGCAGGTACCAGAGCTCGGGGCCAGGCAAGATCCCCCACAGTGACATCATGTCAACACACAACGGCTCCCCACGGCCCCCCAGGACCCGTAGACCCAGTGTCCCCAAGAAGGGACATCTGCCAGTACAGTAGGGACAAGCCCCTGTTGCCTTTCTCAAAGGCGCGCGGTGGCCCGGTTCAGGAACGGCACGGCAACCAATCCCAGGTTGCGTGGTCCATCAGCACACATACACCAATGTGGTGGAGGCAAAATGGCGTTTATTGTTAGTTTACATTGCCTTATATAGTCTGAGTCTACTTCGTCACTTCCACCTGCTCACGTTAAGGGTCCATGTCTCTTGGTTATAGGGAGGGAGGCTCTACCTTTCCGTACAACGCGATATCTTCTGGTCGCCGGACCCTAACTACCACAGACCATGAAGAAGACCACGGTGAAGCAGGTCGTCCTCCCATGAGCCACAGAGAACCATGCCAAGGCAGATATCCACACTGCATCCATGGAGGACCCCACACTGCGGTAAGTGGAGATGCCCTGAAGGACGGTGCTGCCTCTGGAGGGGATTCCACCATTTTCTGGCAGAAATGGCAGCCCCTGGGCAAAACCAAGGATGAAGCAGCCTGGGAAGGGCTGTATCAATTTGGTGGGACGCCACATAGGAGCAGGGGAACAGCGGCAAAGACAAAGTGTTATGGAGTGATGGCAACCCTCATTCCTCATCCCTCTTTGCCCCCTGAAGAAGAGGTGGTCAAACAGTTGGGAATGGAAGAGCCATGTTGAACCTGGGAAGAAGATGGAGTGGGGGGAAGGTGGTTTTACTTTTTTTTTATTATTATCATACAGTAATTGGAAATAAATTGGATTGGGCTCCCTCGAATAGAGGCTGCTTTGCCTGCGAGGGTGGTCGGGGGACAGTTCTCCCAAAACCACGGCGCTGTGGGTCAGGAGGGGCTTTTGGAGAAGAGCATGGGGTGCCAGCCCCTGCCGAGCGCAGAGACACCTTCCCGCAGCCCCCGTCACCCCCAGCCCCACCCAGCCTGGCCAGAGAGGGACAGTCCTGGCCCAGACTGACAACCAAAGGGCGGAGGCGCGCTGAGGGAACCCTCAGGGAGAACCGTCTGTTGGCTGACCTGCACCCTTTTGGCTCATCGCTCCTCAAGCTTACAGGTTCTGCAGTCGGTTGTGCAGCACCAACCCCTCTTGCGTCCCCGAACCCGGGGTTTGCCGCCGCTGTCTACGTTTACGGGATTCTGATGAAAGGCCCAGATCTCGTTGAAGCTAAGAGCTGCCCCAGCTCGACGGCGTGTGCCTGCGCGACGGCAGCTCCTCAGCCTGGATGGCAATGTGGCCGGGAAAGCCTTGAGGCAAGCTGGCCCGACCTGCGGCCCACCCTTCCCCCTCAGGTTTCCCTGCAGCCACACAAACGCCTGACAGGCTTGTCCAGGCCAGCCCTCTCCAGCAGGAATAAGCCGAGCCATGAAGAGAGCAGTGCAGCCGCCCCAGCCCCTCTACTCGGTGAGGACCTGCTGGAACATGAGGGGGTTCCTCTCGTACCAGAGTCATTTGTCACCTTCATGCAAGAGGGAGCCCAGAGGGACCTGCCCTGCCCGCTCCCCACCAGCTTTGGGCCATGTCCTGGGGGGGCGCTGACCCCCCAAACCCTGACACAGGGGCTCCTCTCTGGGGCGGCTGCTCCCTGATGGCTTCACAACCTCCTGCACCAGCGCAGCCCCGGGTCACCGTGGCAGCCATTTAGTGTCGGCGCGATGTCACCATTGCATCACAATCGTGGCCCTTGTTTTAGGGGGCTGAAGGAGGCTCAGCTGCCGCTTGGACTGCATGCCAGCCAAGGAGCGTTTGGACAGGAGTGGGAAAACCACCTCGGAGATGGCAGGAAAATCCCACAAGCAGGTAGAAGCGGGGTGATTTGGCATCACCCCAACCTCTCCTCCCCTGGTGGCATCCCGCCGGGTTTTTCGGCCTCCCCAGCTCTGACCCCTCTGCACACCCCTTGTCACACAGAACCACTGGAAGAGAATATTCTTGTGCTCCCTGCAAGAGATGGAGGAGTGGAAGCTGACACTGCTGATCTTCACCTCCAGCCTGAGCCTGTGGGGCCTCCTCATGCTGGTGCTGCCCTGCGGCCCCAGCCTCTTGGCTGTCCTGGCTCTGGGCATCCTCCTGGGCTGCTGGCCCATGGGCAAGGCCAAGGTAGGTGTCTGCCTGGCATCACCCCAAACGCTCCCATCAGGGTGCAGAGCCTGTCCTCAGGGTGCTCAGGAGGGTCCCCGTTTTGGGAGGAGGGAGCAGTGAGCAGTGGCTGTTGCCCACCCAGCCCGGCCCCCGTTCGGGGGCCACTCCTGTCCCTGCGGCTCCACTGACCCCTTCCCAGGGCTCACTAACCCAGGCCTCGCTTTCTGGGGACAGGGGACCTCTGTGGAGAGGAACAGATGGAGAAGCCGGAGGAAGAAGGATGACGTGATGGGTAGGTGAAGCAGCCCCAGAGCTGCGCCGGACTCCGCAGAGGCTCCCAGCTGAGGGACGTCATTGTACCTGCAGCCCTCGTGCCAGCTGCCCCTCTGCTTCCTTCCCCAGCCACAGTCTTCGTCCCAAGCAAAGGCCTGGAGTGCATCATGAGGAGCCAGGTGGAAGAGTAAGCCCTTATGGAGGCCCACTCGTGGGTCCCTCTGCCCTGTGCAGCTGGAGGGGGGGTGAGAGCGGGATGCGGCCCCGATCCCAGAGCTGGCAGGGCTGGCTCCGGGGATCTGGGAGATCGCCCAGGCGGGAAAAGACAGAGAGGGGCTGCTGGGTCCACGCTGTCCCACCGGTGGCAGCCCCCACAGCCCAGATGTTCCCCCCACAGGAGCTGGAAGCTCCATGGAGGAGACTGGAGGGCAATCGGCTTCGGCGATGAAGCGGCTGCTGCAGGGGAGCTCCCGCAGGAAAAAGGAGACGGGGCTCAAGGTGGGAATGTCAGTGCTGCCACCAGCTTGGAGCTCCTCCCGAACCAGCCCTCCTTGGACAGCGTGGAAGAGCTCGCCACGTCCCTGATGGAGTCCCTGGACATGGCCCAACTCTGCCGTGACCTGCTGGGAAAACTGAAGGAATCTGTCAACTGCAACGCTGCGACCCCCTGCAAGGACGTCAGGCAGGAGTACGTGGTGTGCCTGCAGTGCCGTCAGTGCCTCACCTGCTGCTGCCTGTACTGCAGCGAGGCCGCAGCTGATCAGCACCTGCCCACGCTGGCCACCATCCTGCACTCCGTGGACTTGCTGGTGCACGAGGAGGAGGTTCAGGTGGAAGTGGGGCTGTGCTTTGAGCTGGCCCTCGGCGGGGAGCTGTTCCACGGGTGGGAGGTAACCCAGAGGTTCCCCGAAATACCCCCGGAGAGGTGCTGCCAGGAGTGCGGCGCGCCTCTGCCCAAGAGCCCTGGGCACGGCGAGAGTTCTTGGCCAGCGGTCCCCAACCCCAGCGCCCAGGGCACAGCAAAGGGGCCCGAAGGAGGTGCAGACCTGCAGCCAGCTGGGCCGGGGGTGCCTCTCCCCACCGCAGTCCCCACGTGGCCCCTGCCCCCCTGGGCACAGCCCCCCTCTCCTGAGGCCCTGGACCAGCTCCAGAACGCTGGGATGGAGCCCCTGCCCTCAGTGGGGTACAGGGCCGGGGAGCAGGGGCTCAGTCTTAAGTGCTTCCGTCGGTGCTGCGCCAAACTGAAGGATAAACTGCAGAGGTGCGTAGCAACGGAGTGCTGCTGCTTGATGGTGGAAGGGAGCGTGGCACCCAGTGGCGCTGCAGAAGAGGACCAGACGCTGCCCTTGGAGAGCCTGTTTACAGCCGACACGCTCTGCCATCACACGGGGATAGAGGCATGAGGGAACCCCACCAGAAGTGGAGGGTGAGGTCCTGCCACACTCACCCTCAGCCGCACCGGGGCCAGCCAGACACTGAGGTTCCACTGTTGGGGAAATGTTGCAATGCAGTGCTGCTGCACAAGCTGTTCTATCAGCTCTGTCCCCTGTATAGCCCCAGCCCAGGGCTGCAAGCACAGTCAACTGAATAGAGCATCAATACAATGTTGTAACAAAGGTAATGATGGGCCTGACAGTTCAAAGGATGTTGATGTATGAGAAACTGACCCTTAGCTACCGAAGCGATGGGAGATCTATCATTGTGGCTACTAAGAACTGAGACGTACAGAACTTGAGGTAATCGTCCTTGAAGACTAAAAGAAAGAAGAAACAAAACAATGAAATAGTCAGACTCTAGAACAAGATGTGAAACCCACTGTCAAGATAATAATGACTGATAAAGTATAATTCTGTGTATTTTGGATTAGGTAATGCTTTGTAGGTGCATAAATACATGTATGCGAACTCATGTAAGCTGTCACTCTCTGCGGAGGTGACCCAACGCTGCTGGACCTGAATAAAATCCTAGAGTAACCCACGACGGAGTTCGAGTCTCCTTTAACATCCACTCAGGGTGGAAGAAGTCCCAGAGCTGCTGGACTGGGTCAGAGTCCCCAACAAGGACAGCCCGGGGCACGTGTGACAAGATGGCCAACCTTCCTGTACCACCCGCAGCTGCAGGACCTTGCTGTTCCTGTCCCCATCCTGCCCAGAAGGGAGGGCAGAGCCCACACTGGTTTGCTCCCTGTGCAGCCACAGGACCAAGGACAAGAGGAACCCTCCAGCGCCTCGTGCTCCCGTCTCTGGAGGCCTCCAGCAGCAGAGAACCCCCCAAGCACAGCCGCCAGCGCTCTCCCCACAAATGCGAGACCTTGGCGCAGAAAGTCAGGCTCTTCCAGTATAAAACAGAACTGCCACTCCAACAGGTCTTTGTTTACTGACATCGACGGGGAGGGCTACGAGGGTGTTGGGGACAGTGCTGGCAGTAGCGGGGGGACAGGCATCGGGGCTGCTCTGGGGCTCGTTCCCACACTGGCGGGGCTGGGGTGGCCCCGGCTGCTCCCACCCAGGTCCCTGCTTCAGCCTTGTCACTGTCTGTCCCTCCAAAGAGCCTTTGGATGCAGCCCCAGCTCTGCCTCCCCTTCCCCTGGGGCTCAGCCCCCCGGGAGGGCACTGGCCACGGCCCCAGAGGGTCTACGAGACCCCCAGCCCCGCAGTAGCCACCCGGGCACCTCTGCCAGCCCCGCGGAGGGGTGCGCGGCCTCGGGATCGGCACCGCCCTCCAGCCCCAGCTCTCTGGCACCAGAGCCACCAACGACACCCGCGGCAGGGGAGAGAAGGCAGGAGGCCCAGGAGGCCCCAGCACGCCAGCCAACTCTCACACGGAGCACATCGGTCCCTCACCGTCACGCCAACCAGCCGCCCGTCAGCCCGGCGCTCGCTCCTTCCCCTCAGTGTCCCGGCCGCTCTGCCCCGCGCATGCGCAGCAACGCTCGCTGCTCTGGGGAGGGCGCCGCGCGCCCTGCGGTGGCGGGAAGATTCCAGCGCATGCGCGGCCGCGCCGTCGCCCGGACAACCCCCCTCCCCGCCCTTCTCCCGCTGTGCCCTACGCGCATGCGCGGCGCCGGCGTTGCTAGGCGACGCCGGCGGACGCTCGCGCCGCGCATGCGCGGTAGCTCCCCCCTTTCTCCCCTGGAAGGGGGAGGCCGGGCCGCCATGAGCCGGCAAGCGGGCGCCGATGTGACGGAGGGTTGGCGGGCCCCGAGCCCGGGCCTCAGCCACCCCGGCCCCGAGGAACGCATCGCCGCCCGCCTCGATGCCAAGCGCCGGTGAGACACGGGGCTGGTCCCCGCTGCCCGGGTTGTCAGGGCCTGCACCCCCGTTCGGCTCCGTCCCCCCTCCCCAAATCGCAGCTGGGTCCCGGCCCCTCCCCGCCCCACCCGTCACAAAGTCCCTCACCTTCTCCCCAGACCCCACGTCTGGTCACAGATGAGCTCCCCTGCCCCAAAATGGTACTGGGATTGATGCCCCCACCCCCACGCCGCTGCAGTTCCAGATCCTTCGCCCCAAACTGGCACCCAGTCCTGACCCCCACCCAGGACCAGCCCAGACTCACAGACCATTCCCGGGTGACAGAACATCCTCTGCCCCACACCGGCACTGGGGCCAGGACCTCTACCACAAACCGGGAGGAGGCAGGGACCCACTGTGGCCTTGCCAGCCTTCACAGGACCCAGGAGCTCTCCCCAAACTGGCCTTGGGTCAGGGACCACCCTGAATCCTGAACCAGTCAGAGACATTCCCCGTTCCCTGCCAAAGGGCAGGAGGTCAGGAACCTCCCGATCCCAGCTCAGCCCAAAGTCAAAGACATCCCTGCCCTCTCCCCAGCCCAGCACTGGGGCAGCGATACCCATTTCCCCAGGATGCTGCCCTGCCATGGACCCTCAGCTCCCTGGACAAAATCAGGACCGGGCCAGCGGCGTCCTGGATCAGACAGATGTTATTCCCAATCCTGGGGCTCACCGCTCATGGGGCACACCTTTCCCCAAAGCAGGACTGAAACAGGGTCCTCTCCCAAGCCTTAAGAGACCCTTCCTTGCTGGGTGAGATTGGACTGTGGGATCGGTGCCAATGCTGAAATGGCTTCAGACAGAAGCTGGCTCTCTTCATGGCCAAGCCAGGGTCCCCCACAGCCACCTAAGGGCTGTCCCCCGACAGCCCCTGCCCCCCGACAGCCTCTGCCCCATGCCTGCCTCCCCCTGGGCAGCAAACAGGGGCTGAGCCACCCCCAGCCCTGTGCTGAATCAGTAACCAGCCTTGGGCTGCACTCCCAGCTCCAGAAAGCAAAGCCTGGACCCTGTTTGGAGGCTGTCCCACCCTTTCCTGCCTCCTTTCTGTGGAGACCTCCTGGCCTGGGACTACGCCTGCTGAGAGGAAGAGGGAGCCCAGTGTGCTGTGCCGAGCCACGCAGCCTGGGCCAGGATCCCAGATCCAAGTCCATCCCTTAGCATTAGGAAGATGGCGTGGTGTAAAATGTTCTGCCTTATTCCTTTTTCTGCCCAGGAAGGCCCTTGGAGAAGATGCGGCGCCAAAGGTGGCTGAGGAGGAAGAACAGAGAAGGAGCCACAAGCACATTGAGGAGTGCAGGCAGGTGCGGCAGTAGGACAGGAAGGTCCTCTTGGGTCCCTGACATTTGGCTTTAACCTCCTTTTAGCTTTGTGTGATGCTTAGTGTCACACAGCATCGTTTATGTGAGAAGAAGCGGGGACAGAAACTCCTCAGGACCGGGTAGGGAGTGATTCTTGGGCTGGATCCTAGGAATATGATTCCCCTGTGACAAAGAGCCCACGGATTGTAAGGATCTGGGAATGACGCCGTGTATCCAAACCCAAACCCCACCGTGCCTAGCCCCATCCTCACATGCAGGGGAAACAAAACAAGAAGGTGCTCTGAGCATATTCCTCTTGGTCCTGTTGGCCTGTGGGGCTTTCCTGGAGAGGGAAGACCCATGGGTGCATTGAGGTCCTTGCAGTGTTCATCAATCCTGCCATAGCAAGAAGACAGGGTTTAGGGGTTCACACAGTCACCTCAGCATGGGGATAGGAGCCAGACCTTGGGCAAGCATAGCAAGAATTCCTCCAGTATCCCTCCCTCCAGAGCTCAGGTCTCTGAATGTGAGATGTGTACCACCTACTTCACAGAGGCTGGCCAAGCTGCTCTTTGATGGCACGCAGATGGTGACAAATATCCAGGTGGCTGCTGACTTGAGGGAAACACAGAGGAGGGCAAAGGAGGCAGAGCTGAAGCTGCGGAGGTAAGAGACTGCACAGAGGGTCTGAGCTGCTGGGAAGTATGTTGGTGCAGCTTTCTGAGGACACCCAGGAACACTTAGCAGTTAGGGCTACGCTGAATTGATGTTCAAAAGGAAAATTTAGGCACCTCCATGTCCCGCCTGCCACAGTGGGATCTTTACAGAGCTCTGCAGGTCAAGGCTGGTGGTTTCCCCAGGTGGCACTGCAGTACTACGGACTACCAATCTCCTCCAGACCCATCGCATCTTCAGCTCCAGAGTGTGAGAAATGCAGCTGGGTCTCAACTTTTCACCAGGAGCCTGTACCACACAGGCTTGTGGTCTCCTTGCTCGAGAAGCACAGGCACAGCAGCTGTCCCTGCTTCTGGCTTGCCAGGCAGCTCTCCTGAGCCTGGAGGTGACACCGTAGCGGAGAACATGTCACTCTGGGCTAAAAGGTGGCTCAGTAAAGGGCCTGTTTCCAGTGGTTGCCCTCCAGTCATGGAGATAAGGGTAATTAGCCGTACCATGGGAACATGCTGGGACAGCCCCATCAGGCTGTGTGTGAGGATTGGGAAGAATGTGAGGCTGTGCTGATTTGAAAAATTGCATATTAAGATCTTCGCAGCAAGCGTGGTCAGATGCTGGGTCAGGGGACACTGGTGGTGTAGAGATCTTTCTCCTGGGAGATACTCAGCACATGCCAGGACAAGGCTCTGCACAACCTGCTCTGACATTGAAGTCAATCTCGCTGTGACCGGAGGCCAACGATTTCCTGAAGCCCTTCCAACATCAATTATTCTCTGATCCTGTCTCTGTGGTCTCCTGGGCCAACCTGTCCTGCTTCACCAGAGGAGTCTCCAAGGGACTGGCCCTTTCAGCCCTGTCCCCAGGACTGGGAGATCAGCTAGGAAACACCGAGTCCTCGCTCCTGCTGCCTTTGGAGGGCACTGTAGGAACAGTTTACAGGCGGCTGGCTGTAGCAAAACCCATGTCCTTTGCTCAGATGGTTTTCCACTGCGAATCTCATGAAGGTGCTGTGTCCAGGAACTGCCCCTAGAGCAGGTTTGGGGGGTGGCAAAGTTGGTGGCTGCTCTTCAGCCTGACCCAAGAGCCATTCCCAGAGCACTGTTTGGAAGAGGAAAGAGTTTTGTAATATGAACGTGAGCTATTTGTCTTTAACTGGACTGTGGTCTGTGGACAGCTTGACTCTCAAGTCTAGAGGTAGCTAGGAGGCTGTTTGGCCCTCCTTGTCTACCACCTCTTGCCCTGAGACAGCTCGCTTGGCAGAAGGACTAATGCTCCTTGCAAAGGTGACTGCTGCTTGAGCTGAGCTCTTCCGTCTTTCCTCCCCCAGGTTGTTAGAGCACCGGGCAAGGGCAGAGCTGGGGAAATGCCACTTTGAAGAGAAGGGCCTGCAGGATGCCACCTCTGCCCTCGTGTGATGCTCTCACAACCGCTTGCAAGAAAGCTGCTGCTCCGCTGGCATCTTGATGCCACTTTGAATTCAAACTGGGTTATGCAGGAAAGTGCCACTGAACCACGTCTGAAGCTCTTGCTGGCCTGCCCCAGCTCCCCGTTTGCCATGTGCTCCTTACTGCCTGCAGGGTGGAGAAGCTGGAGGGTGAAGCCAAGTCGAGCACATACAAGTTTGAGGAGATCACCTCCAAATGGGCCTTGGCCAAGGAGATGACGATCCCGCAGGAGCTCTGGCAGCTGCTGAACCAACAGCAGCAGAAGTGCGCGTTGCTTCTGGAGAAGAAGAACAAGCTCATCAATGAACTGCAACAGGTAGCGTGGGGACCAGGCAGGGACAACCGGGAAGGATGGGGGCTTTTCCGGCTCTGGAGGATGCTGTTCTAAAGCAACAGCATCCCTCTGTCAGGATCTTCAATCCGCCAGTACGTGGCAGGGATTTTTGTAGTGTCAGTTGGTCTGGGTCAAAGCTGTGCCAGGAGATGCAGTGCCAGTGTCCCAACGTGGACAAGGAGATCGGATGCCCTGGCACTGTTCAGCATGCAAGGACAGACACATGGGACACCGGCAGCAGTAAGACAAACTGGCAGGTCCCAGATTGCACCGTAAGGAGAAGGCAAATGAGGAGAGCGGGGGGGTGTTTTTGTAGAGGGAAGAAAGCCTTCCCCACAGCAGGTTCCCTGGCCCGCAGAGAAGGAGTGGTGTGTCTGCAGGTGTGTCACCTCCCACTCCATCTCACCGGGACCTTTTGGCGATGATGATCTGTCCCTCCTCCCATCCTCCCTCCTAACTACCTCTTGACTTTCTGGCTCTTTGCTCTCATCACCTCTTCTCCTTTGGAAAAGGCATTGTCTGGGTCTTAGCCTCTCAGTTAGCCCCTGAGGATTCCTGGTCAAATAGTCTTTCTCATTTCAGCATTTGCCCTTCTCCTCCAGGAGCTAAAAAACAAGGATGAGCAATACGTGCAGGCCATTAAGAAACAGTCAGATGATATCCACCTGCTTTTGGAGAGAATGGAGGAACAGATCAGGCTTGTGCTGAAAACGTACCGTCGCGAACTCCTGCAGATTGAGGTAGCCAGCTCATGTGGCAGAGGAAGAGTCCAATGAAAAAACCTGCGGCCGCTTGCTTCTCCATATCTATGACAAAAAGTCCTCAGGCTCATTTCACTGGCTGGGTTGACTGCTGTACAGAGCAGCAGGGCTGATGTCTTGGTGAATGAAGCTGAAATCTGGCCAAGCAAGAGCACTGAATGGTGCTGAGTGCTGAGGGGCTGGTTTATACTGTGCTGTGAATGGCTGTGGTTCAGTGCAGAGCGACTTGGTGGCATGTGAAAGCTGTTGCTGCTCGATGGCTGATTATTCCTGTCTTTAAAAGCCAGAAAGGACCATTGTGGCTCTTTAGCACATAGCACAAAGTCCCACCTCATGGATCAAACCTGCATTTGTCGCTGAGTGAGGGAATTTCTCCCCGTTTAATGCCTTGTGAGGTGAAATCGGGCAGTTGTCTAGCCGAGTTCCACTGCTAATCATCAAGCAATGGTTCCCAGTTCTCTGCCAGTGGGGTTCTGGCATGGAAAGGAGAGATCAGGCCACCCTGTGTTCATCAGACAGTGGCCCCAGCCTGCATCCAGTCCTCTCCTGGAGGCTACTGGCCTGGACTAGTGTCAGGGTGGCAACGAGTGGTGCCAACATGATGGTGAAGGGTTCTGTCTCCTTCGCAGAAAGCTTTTGAGCTCGAACGGCGAGAGCTGCTGGACAACAACAGGAAGAAGTGGGAGGAAGCCATCCAGGCCCACAACGCGCAGGAGGTAAGGTCCATGTGAGGTTTAGAATCCTAGAATCACAGAATCGTTTAGGTTGGAAATACCTTTAAGATCATCGAGTCCAACCGCTCGGCTCACCCTGCCGAGCCCACCACTAACCCACGTCCCCAGGCGCCACATCCACACGTCTTTTACATCCCTCCAGGGATGGGGACTCCACCACTGCCCTGGGCAGCCTGGGCCAGCGCTTGACATCCCTTTCTGTGAAGAAATTTTTCCTAATATCCAGCATAAACCTCCCCTGGCACACCTTGAGGCCGTTTCCTCTCATCCTGTCACTTGTCACTTGGGAGAAGGGACTGCCCCCCCCCTCACTCCAGCCTCCTTTCAGGTAGTTGTACAGAGCCATCAGGTCTCCCCTGATCCTCCTTTTCTCCAGGCTGAACCCCCCCAGTTCCCTCAGCCACTCCTCCCAGGATTTGTGCTCCAGACCCTTCACCACTTCGTTGCCCTTCTCTGGACGCGCTCCAGCACCTCAAGGTCTTTCCTGGAGTGAGGGGCCAAGGCTGCCAGGACCAGTGCTGCTCTCCAGCACTGGCCTGTCTTGAGAGACACACGCGCACAAAGGCAGCTGGTTCCTCAGGAGGGTGGGGGGCAGTTTTACAGCCTGCTCTGGAGAGGAATTATCCATGCATGACCTTGCTTTGAGCTGGCCAAAGGAGCTGTGACTGCGGGAGGAAGCTGTCACCATTGGTGGATGATGTTCTCCTTTTGCCCATAGCTGGATTACCTGTGTGCCCGTATGAGGAAGGTGGAAGAGTTTGAGAAACAGCTGAATCAGCTGCGGGTGCAGGATGAGGAGGAGTATAACAGCATGAAGATCCAGCTGGAGAATGATGTGCAGGTACAGAAAAGGCTGGCGTGTACCCTGTGGGGAGGCGGGGGAGCAGATCTCTCTGGGCTTTTCTTTGCTTAGCTGGCTCTGGGGCAGCTAGACAACATGAAAGCTGCAGCTGGTGTCTGCTCACCTCAGCTCTTCAGTGTGCACAGTCCAGCCCTGTGTCAATCGGGTGATGGAGCTGTTGTTCTCTCCCCTCCATGGGTCCCAGACCACAGCGTCCATCTGCTCTTGGCTCTCAGAGGTCTGTAGCACATGAACTGCAGCTCTAGGATGTATGAAGCACCTGGGAAGGCCGAGGGGTTTGCTACTTCTGGCATCATGATTGATAGGAGGATCAAACAGTGTGAGTGTCCTGACACCAGATCATTTCAGATCAGCCTAATTTCTTCCTTTGTCAGGGTCCTTGTCCTAGGAGGTGTGAGCTTTTTCTTCTGACATCTAGCCATAGACCCCTCTAATGCCCACGAAGTCCACTTGGTGTGAGAACTGTCCTGAGTTTGCCCTTAGGTAGGAGGACATGCAGTGGAGGAGCACAGCCCTGACACACACCACTGGCTGAACAAGCACCAGGGGCTCTCAGTGCAAATCCAAACCTCCTACAGATACCTTTTAGTCCATTCCATTCTCTGCGAGCAGTTCATCCGTGGTTCTCTGCAGTCCTGCTGGTCCCCTGAACCTCAGCCCCAGCGTTGGTCCTGCTCTGTCAGGTTTGGCTTTGCCTGGCATCATTCAGCCTCCTCTGCTCAGCAGAGAGCCCCGACGCCGCTGACACCTTCCCTGCTAATTGTCATATGTTGTATCCCAGGTTGCATGGTAGAAATGGGACACGTTGCATTTGGCCGTTAGAAAGGCTCATTGTTTGTCCCATGGGATGTTTTTCTAGGAAACACAGGGAAATACAGGCTAGGGCCAACGTCTAGAATGTTTTGCACAACTTCAGGTGAAATATTACTGTTGCAAGGTCCCTTTCTGCCCGAAAGGGGCATGACCAGGGAGGGCAGGCTTGACTCGGCGGTTTCTTTGCCTTCATATTGATAACCTGGAAGGTGACACCGAGTGTGTAATGCTCGCAGATGGCTCTGAGCTGCCCGGGGAGGGAGGCAGCAGCATGCTGGAGATCACGATTCACAGGAGGCCATGTGGGGCTGTTGTAAAAATGCACCTTTAGCTGTCGTTGTGGGAGGGTTTATATATAAGGCAGGGGAGGGAATTATTTCTCTCTACTTTATACTTATGTGTCCTTGTCCATGTTTGGCAACACACTTGGGAACAGGAGGGAGAGTCTAGAACAGGCCAAGCTGCCAAATGACCCCTAAGAAAAGGTTGAAGGGCTGGGTCTGCTCATATGAGGGAAGAGATTTCCGTAGAGAGGTGATATGTCTACAGATATGCACAATTCTGTACGATGGAGGAGGAAAATTATGACTTCTCTGTGTCCACTGTAGATACAAGAAAAAATCATGGCATTGAGTTTTAGTAGGGAAGATTCAAATTTGCATTCAGATTTAGGGTTGAAATTTCAAGCTAGGAAAGCGTAGAAATGGCAAGGACTTGCTTGGTGGTTAGCTAGAATGACTGTGCCCTTGGTATACTGCTCTTTGATGCAGGGTTTTAAGAACAACTTAAAACAACTTCTGCTGGGGCTGATTCAGTGAAGGTGTTCCTTCTGTGGGGCAGAGGGATGAAGTAGATGTCCTCCTGCTTCCCTTTAGCCCTGCAGTTGTGTAACTCTGCACAGCACAGACCTCACCCTTCCAGTTCAGGGAGAGTAAGAAAAAAGAAGGAAACAACTATTTTCCTGATTAACCTGTGATATCATTGTGATGTCTCTCTGAAACAGGAGCTTAGCCAAGACCTAAAGATGAAGTCTGTGGTTTGGGGGTTACTGAATACTCCCCAGTTTCAACAGACAGGAATCAGCATTTTAAATACGGGGTTTGGGCCATGGCTTTCCTCCATCTGTGTAAAGAGAAGGTCCCTTGGCCCTGCTGGGATTTACCTCCATCTTTTCTTCAGTCAAGCTTTGACCCTAGCCAGGTGGGACTGCTCCTGGGTGTCTTCCCAGGTTGTTTGTACACTCCCTGTTGTACGTACGGCCACCCAGGAGGGCTCTGAGCCAGATAAGTTGGATACCAGTGGCTTCCCTGCTTCTGGCCTTCAGCTCAGGACTCTTTACCTGCCCCAAGAGATCCCCTTGGGATGAGAGCAAGCCTCAGCCCCTGATGGAGACCCCGCTGGGTCTCTCTGTTGTGCAAATTGCTGTGCACAAGCAAGCCTGGAGCTGATGCTGTAACTGAGGGCCATGTGGCAGCTTAATTCCTATCATGGAAGAAGTCTTTATAGGCCTCCCTAGTAAAGCACTCTATTGTGAGATTTTTTTCAGTATCAACTTTCTGCCTCCTCCTGCACATGGAAAACACTTATACTAATGAATTAAAGCACACCAGGCCCAGACACCGCCTCTCACCCATCCACGCAGTCACGCTGCCTTCTCCCGGAGTTTCCATGCCGCTGTGTTCCCCTGAGCTCGCTTCCAAATGAGCTGCAGGGCTGGCAGAGAGCAGCGATCGTGTGTGATGCCTCCCAGCCCCAGGAGACTGGGAAGCAGCTCTTCCTTTCCATCAGCTGCCGAGCAAACGGGGTGCTGGGAAGCTGAGAGAGATGTCTCCATTGCAGGTGTCTCCCCCGTTGCAGCTGTGGAGCAAAGGGGAGAACTCAATGCCTCTCTCCTGTCCCCCAGGCTACGCAGCGAGATGCTGCCGTCACAAATGCTTCAGTTACTTTATTTTTTTCTGGTTTCCTTAAGAGAGTTTGTGCGGTCAGTCCTCCTGTGTGTCCCTTCCTTCAGCTCGCCAGATAACGTCTGAGCCTCTCAGTTGATTCGGAGACATGCAGTTCCTAAAACTGATGTGAAAATCAGCAGCTAGGCTGAAGAGAGAGGCCCACATTAGTGCCCCACCGAGTGAAAGTTGCATCCAAATTCAGTCCTTTCTCCCTTCCCCAGACCTGGCCTTGTAGCATGTACTTACGGACAACCAGCATCTCCATCACTCACCCATGAGTGATGCCATGTGGCCAGGGATTAGCTGGGAAAATATGCATGGGAAGGTGGGGTTTGGAGATGCAGGACGAGTAGGATCCAACCTTCAGTGTGGCCTTTGCTCATGACACGGCTTGTTTTTGTGGTTTTTGAAATGCCAGAACCTGGAGAAGCAGCTCCAGCAGATGAAAGCCGTCTATCAGCTGACCCAGGAGAAGCTGGAGTACAACCTTCAGGTGCTTAAGAAGCAGGACGAGGAGAACACCATCATCAGATCCCAGCAGAAGAGGAAGCTCAACCGGTAAAAAAACCATCCCTGGAAGGTGGGCTCTGTCATCACCTCCCTTATGTCATTTTTTGTGGAGCACAAGCAGATGAGCTCTGTCCCAGCCCATCCCCGGGCAGGGGCAGGAGTTAGCCCAGGGCAGGGCCATCCCCAGGGCACTCTGAACGGGCTGGTCATGGCCACCCTGTGCCAGCTGCATCAGGGCCAGTCAGGTTATCCCCTAGTAGATAAGCAGCCCCGAGTCCCAAAGCCTTCATACAAGCTGGGGATGCCCAAAGTTGCCTCTCTGGGGATGCCCAGCTTTGCTCTCCCTCCCCAGGCTCCACAGTTTGCTCAATAACCTGCGAACAAAACTGGCCAACCAAGAGAAGCAGTTCAGAGAGGAGAACCAGAGCCTGGCAGACGACTGCAAGCGCATCATGGGGCAGTGCAAGGAGGTGAAGAGGAGGATGAGGTGGGCTGTGTGCGGGCATCCACCCGTGATGAGGCCTCGGAGCACCTGAGTGAGGTGCAGGGGGAGCTGACTCGTCGTTTTGGGGCACAGAGCCTCCCTCCATGGGCCATCTCCCTCCTGCACAGGCACTTTGCTGTCAGCGACGCTGAGAAGTTCACGGAGGTCTGGCTTATGAAGGAGGAGGAAGCCAAAGGCCTGATGCGGAAAGCCCTCGATGCAGATCGAATCATTCACACCCAGCAACTGGGGCTGCCCTGGGAAGAGCCTCATTACTGGTTCCTGAACAACGTCGGCCCCCTCGGGCATTCCAGTGTGAAGAGGATGGCGACCAAGCTGGCTGCGGAGGTCCTGACAGGTAGGATACACAGTGCCCTTGTCACCTTGAGACCCTCACCTTCCTCCATGACAGCCCCTACTGTCACTCCGTTCCTTGCCATTGCAAGGTGGGATCTGACAGGGGTGGTGACACGGCGAGCTCAGCCTTGTCACACTGTCCCCAGCCCTGAGCTGGCTCAGGCCAAGCCAGCCTGGGGATCTTTGCACCGTACTTTGCCCAGTGCTCCCAGTTCCAGACAAGTTGACCGTGAGCCAGCTCGCGTCCCAGGATCTTTGGGGGTGCTTTCAAGGTCACGGGGAACAACTGTGATTTGCCTGATGACTCCTGCAGCGATGTGACTGGGAAGCACAGCCTGGGGATCACAGTCACTCCACAAAGGCTTTTTCTCACCGTTTTTTCTCCGTGTTTCAGAGAGCAGCTCTGGAGAACAGGAGGAGGAAGGGAGAGAGAAGGAGGAGAAAGAAGTGGGAAATGGAGAAGGAGGAAAAGAAAACACAGTGAAGGTTAAGAATAGAGTCACACCTCTGCGAAATATCTCCAAGAAGACTGCCAAGAGGATCCTGGAGCTCATGAGCGATGAGTTGGTATGTGATGATGTAGCACATGCCTTGGTCAGGGAGCAGGCGTGCTGTCCCCTGGTTGCCCCAGCTTGTAGTGGATCTCTTCCGAGCTCCACGTCTTGGGGTGAAGGCTTCTGCATGGCACTGCCTTGCTATGCCAAGCAGCCTGTTGTCAGAGAGCTGCCCCAGGGGCCGGGAGAGGATCTCCAGGTCTTCCCACTGTCTGTGGCACATATATGATGCTAATAAAAGATATCGGCAGGCACAACCCCATTGCCCAAATCCGAAGCTCCCCAGGCCAGAATAAGCACAGGCAAGCCATCTGATGCTCCAGGCTGTTCCCTATGTCTGAGGACAGACAGCAAGAGATCCTTTTGGCATCACCGTGCTGATGGCTCTTATCTTCCCTGGCTGCTGGGTGGCTGCTCTGGAGCCTCCTGGCCCTGCCAGCCTCACGCTGCCCAGCCTCTGCCCACCCTCCCTGCTCGGCCTCTGTCGCGTGCTGGCACAGCCGTGGCACGGCATGAGCTGGCTTCTGGGCAGGGACAGAGCTGCTATTTCTCTGCACCTTCTTCTCGGTGTGTCTCCTAAGGGTTTCCTCGTTGAGAACAAGCTGCTGAGGCCCTTGGACTCGCTGGGGAGGCACGAGCGCATCCTCATGAAGCTCGACTCCATCTTTGCGGTGAGTCGTGGCTTGGCCCATCAGGGGCCGTGGGGAAGGCTGGTGGTCACGGGGGAAAGCCCTCTGCCCCGTGTCTGTGTGGTGTAGGACTGGGGAGGCCCAGGGAGGTCCAGCTGGGCTGCTGGGGGAACTGGGGCAGCAAGGGGAGAGGGAGCACTTGCGAGGGTTTGAAGCGCTGGGGCCAGATGCTCCTCAGCTCAAGGCTGTCCTGCTGATGAATGAAACAACATCCGCAGGGCCCCTGCAGTCTGTTCTCAGACTGTCCCATCCACAGATACCCCCGGCTGTCCCACGCTAACCACTTCTTACCACCCTCTCCTGCCTTGCGTGGCACCCTTTGCGCCTGGGAAATGCTCTTTGTCCCACTCCCCCTCCCGTGACGTCTCTGAGGGACGCTGACCCAGTTCCTCTGCTCCCCCAGGCCTTCGAGATCGACAGTGAGGATGACCTGTACCATCTGATGGATTTTTTCCTCAAGTACAAAGCCCAGGAGGTGGCTGTCAGCCAGGTGGGACAGCAGTGGGGAAAGCCCAGCCGAGCCTGGGCTCCAGGGAAGGGGAAGCAGAACATCCGAACCCCCAGCAGAGAGGGGAACCAGTGGGTTGACCCTGGAATGTTTCGCTGTGCCCGCACACGGGACGTGAACATGCCTGGGCTGTGGGGTTGTAATTTTCTGCCGTGGCTGAACAGAGCCTCTTGCAAATGAATTTTTGCCTCAGCTCCCTAAATTTGCTGAGGGACAACGCTGCGGGCAGCTGGAAGCTCCCTGGGAAAGGTGGCTCTTGGGGAGGAGGAGGTGGTAGAAGGCACAGTGTTGTTGGCCTTCCCTCCAGATCCAGGGCATCCCAGGGGGAGAAGACGTCACAGATCCAGCTGAGGACAGAGAGGACGGTGGATCTGGTGCCCAGAGGGACAAGCTCAAATCCCCTTGGAGCTCTCCGGGCTCCCTTCCAGCTGTGTCCATCCACGCTGATGATGTCCTAAAGATCCTGAAAGCATTTGTGAGGGACTTTGACAAGCTGAGGTAGGATTTAGGGGCAGAGTGGGGCTGTTGTCACTGGGAGGGAGCCAGATTGGGGCACGGAGGGGGCTGTGGGGGTGTGCAGGCAGGGTTGGGGGTGACTGCATTGCCCTGGCTGGTGCGAGAGCTTCTCCTGCCTGCCCTACAAGATTAGAGGAGCGAGGAGGGTCCCGCCAGGGCAATGGGGGTACAGACAGTGCCTGAGAGAGCTGGGGACAACCGGGCAGGAGATCACCAGCAGCCAAAGCAAAGCCATGGGGCGGGCAGGTACCAGCTGTGGGGTCGTGCTCATTGGTGTGACGATGGCGATGGTGCTCAGTGCAGCTGAGGGGTACAGGGCTGTTCCTCACCCGTGAAGAGCTGAGCCTCAGGGCTTTCTCTGTCCCCCAGGGAGAAGGAAGGATCAACAAAGGAGGTGCTACCGGTACGGGACAGCTCTAAGGACGGGGAATACTGGGAAGCCCTGGCACGCGTTATCCCCGAGCCGACGTTGAAGCTGTGGGACGCGTTGGTGGTGGCACTGGAGGAATATTAGTGAGTGCCCGGCAGCGCTGTTGGGGACGGGGCGGGCTGGTGGGGGGTGGCTGGGGGACCCGCAGCGGGGCCGATGCTGACTGGCCCCGTCAAACCCTCCGCCCTCCTTCCCCAGCAAGATCCTCACGCGGAGGGCCAGCCTGCTCGCCGAAGCAGCTATCCTGCAGCGGCAGACCTCGGAGCTGTGCCTGCTGCTGGGGGAGTACCTCAGCGCCGGGGTGAGCGCGGCATCCCCCTCCCCTGCAGCTTGGGGACACCCCCCCCCCCCCCGCCTTACCCCTCTGTGTACCCCATGCAGCGATCCCAGACACAGGACCCGCTGCCCCGAGCCCATCGGTGTCAGGCTCGGGGTGCTTCTCCCCACAGGCGAACAGCAAGCTGCTCTCCCCTCCCACGCAGTGGTTGCCCCTGAATTTCTCCTGCCCCGGGAAAGCGCAGTGAGTGCCCGTGGCCAGCTCAAGGCTTTTCCCTGCCCCGAGCTAAAACTGTGTCTGGAGCCAGGGCTTCCCGGCAGGGATTAATAAACCCTTCCCAAACTTAGGCTGTGAGCGCCTGTGGCCTGCGAGGAGCACCCCCTCTCACCTCTGAAGATATTGGGGAGCCGCAGCCAAGCACCTCCCGATCCAGGGGACTCACAGCACTGTGGGGAAGCATTTCCCCACTCACACCACCGAGCCGTGCAGTCTGCGTCCTCCCTTCCTTCCTCAGAACCTCCACCTCCCACAGGCCAGCATCCCCACCGCCCCTAGGCTTCGGGAGAAACCCCACCTTTCTTTATACCTTATTCCTCACTTTTCCTTTTGCTGCCCCACCACCTTTTCTCCCAACTACTTTTCTCTCAGCAGTCCTGGTGTTGCTACCATCCGTACCTAAATTCTGCATTTCCACGGCTCCGTCAGCCCAAGGCGGTGCTGCCAGGCAGTTATCTCCAGGAGGGCTGCATCACATCCACAATTCCCTTCCTCCCCTCTGGTTCACACCATTTATATCTCATTCCCAGTCTCCGCTTCCTGGCCAGCTTTATCTTTAGCCTTGACTCCCCTGCCTAATGCCCACGAACAGTTTCTGATACCAGAGGAAAAAAAAAAAAAACAAAGACACAAAAAAAAAAACCCAAAACCAAACAAACCAACACTGTTGTTTTTTACTCACTGGGTAACTATGCCCTTGAATAAGTTTTCTTTTTATTCCTGGTTGCCATCAGCTTTAAGGTCCCGTGATACCGTGGGACAGCTTGCTCGCTGTACCCCAGGGGTACAGCGGGATCCACAGGGCACAAATGCAAATGAAAAGGCCGAGATTGAGAAGGTGGAAGGCAGGGAAAGGGTTTTGGGGCAGGGAAGGCAGGAACAGGCACGCTGCCCGGGCCAGGGGAGCGGCAAACATCACTTGGCACTTCGGGGCTTGCTCGGCCGGGCCCCTGGGACCACCGAGGCGCCAGCTCCCGGAGTCAGGGTATGGTCGGGAATGCCGTTCCCCGTCGGAGCATCCTCCCGCTCCTGCAATCGCAGAGAGAGGCGAGCGAGGAAGGTCAGTGATCCCAGCCCCACGGGGAGGGGTGGTCAGGAGGGCCCTAACCCCACCCCCCCACCCCTCACCCCCCACGGGACAAAAGGGAGGGTGTTCAAGAACCCACCACCCCCCCCCCCCCCCCCCCAGCAGCAACAAGAGGGCTGAATTCCTGGGGGGAACCCTCCGGAGCGGGGCCGGTGGGGTCGCGGGGCCGTGCCCGGCCGAGGGCCCCCCCCCCCCCGGGCGGCTGCAGCCCGGCCCCCGCCCCGCCCCGCCCCGCCCCTCCGGGCGCCCTCGCCGCCGCCAGCACCGGCCGAGCCCCGGGCCCCGGGATGCTGCAGGCACCCACCCGGGTCTCTCACCGCTCGTCGCGGCGGAGGGGCCGCTGGAAGCGTAACCGCTCGCCCTCGGCAAGGTAGGACACCCCTCCACCCCCCCCCCCCCCAACATCGTCCCGGTCGGTCCCCCCCGGAAACACGGGTGCACGGCGCTGAGCACCCCGCTAATGCACGGGCACCACCGGGGAACCGGGGGTTTGGGGGGGGGGGGGGTCGGGGCCGAGTCTAGGGGAGAGTCCCCGGGGGTGGGGGTCCCGGTCAGAGCACTTGAGCAACGCTGAGGTTGGAAGTACCGGGTACCGGGGCTGCCCCGGGGCCGGGGGAGACTCTCGGGGGTGGGGGTCCCGGTCCGGGCACCGAGGGAGAGCCCCGGGGGTTGGGGGCCGGGGGAGAGCCCCAGGGGTGGGGGGCCGGGGCCGGGGGAGAGCCCCAGGGGTGGGGGGCCGGGGCCGGGCACAGAGGCTGTCCGGTTGAGAGCCCTGGGGGTGGGGGTCCCGGTCCGGGCACCGAGGGAGAGCCCCGGGGGTTGGGGGCCGGGGGAGAGCCCCAGGGGTGGGGGGCCGGGGCCGGGCACCGGGGCTGTCCGGGGAAGAGCCCCGGGGTTGGGGGATCCCGGTCAGGGCACAGAAGAAGCACCGAGGTTGGAAGTACCGAGTCCCGGGGGTGGGGGTCCCGGTCCGGGCACCGAGGGAGACCCCCCGCCATGGGTGGGGGAATTCCCGGTTCGGGCACAAAAGCAGCACCGTGGTTGGAAGTACCGAGCCCCGGGAGAGAACCGCGGGAATGGGGCTCCGGGTCCGGGGGCCGCCCCGAGGCTGCGGGTGTGGGCAACCGGATCAAGCCCCCACGCAGGGTCCGGCCGCCCCCGGCCCCTTCCCCAACCCCCCCCTCCCCCCCCCCCCCCGGCCGCATGCCGGCCCGGTGGCCGGAGCCTGCCCGCCCTTGGCTAGCAGTGGCCCGGGGCTGTGTCACTCAGGCGGGAGCCGGCCCGGGGAGGGAGCTGCGGGGTGACTCACCAGCAGGAAACCGATTGCATCAGGACGGGGGATGTTTTTCCAGCTGGGGTTCCCGCGAAACCCCGCTCCGTCCTCTCTCCATCCCTCCCTCCATCCCCTCTCTCCCCAGCGCCATGGAGAAGGGAGCCAGCCCCTCCACCGGCAGCTCGGCGGCCTCGTCCTCATCCTCCACGGCCAACTTCAAGGAGGAACTCCTGTGCCCCATCTGCTACGAGCCTTTCCGGGAAGCCGTGACGCTTTGCTGCGGCCATAACTTTTGCAAGGGCTGCGTGAGCCGCTCCTGGGAGCATCGGCATCACGTGTGCCCCGTCTGCAAAGAGGCCTCCTCGTTCGACGACCTTCGCGTCAACCACACGCTCAACAACCTGGTGGAGATGATCCTCAAGGAGGAAGGGCAGCGGCGGGGCCGGGTGGCCGCCTTCTGTCCCCTGCATCACGAAGAAGCCAAACTTTTCTGCCTGGACGATAAGGAGATGGCTTGCTTCGTCTGCCAGAGCTCCAAGCAGCACGAAGGGCACAAGATGCGGTTGGTACAGGAGGCGGCGGCGGATTTCAGGGTGAGGGGATGCTCCGGGAAAGGAAGGTGGGGGGGGGGGGGACCCTGATGGGGTGGTGGAGAGGCACCCCGATATCTGGAGGGGGTGCAGCCCGCGCGACGCCCTGGCCCAAACTTGCCACCGCATGGTTTTGGCTCGTGGACGGCGCGGTTGTACCTGCCGGGATGAAAAATGAAGCCGCCACGTTGCCAGGGTGGGTCCCCACGGGGAGTGCCCCTGCCTAATAATTACCTGGTGCCACCCCGTCCCCCGGGGCACAGCCACTTGCCCTGCGGGAAAAGGGAGCAGGGTGATGCTCCCAGGGGTTCGGAGAGTGGCCGAGTCCCCGCGTTTCCTCGGCTCTGTTCAATCCTCCACGGGGCTGGGCTGGATCCGGCCACGCTGGTTATTGCAGGAGCTGGTTATTGCGGCAGCGCCTGAGGGTTGGGAGAGGATTTGGGATGGGAGATTGCACAATTCCCCCAGCCGGGGAGGGATGCGGGGTGGGGAGACATCCCACTGCGGGGGCAGACTCGGCCGTGGCTGCATGGGGAGGAGGAGGAGGAGGAGGAGGAGGAGATGGGTTCTGGCGGCAGCCAGGCATCATGCCAGGACCCGTCGTATTTCCCAGTCGGAAAAGCAGCCGCTGCCGCCCTGACTCAGCCCACAGAGGACGAGCCAGATTTGAAATGTCGCGGGGCTGCTTTGAGGCTGCTGTTTTGCAAGGCTTGGCAGGCTGCCTGCGATGCCGAGCCTCCCCGGGAGCGGGGCAGAGCCTGCCTGCAGCACCGGGACAGGCAGGGACTTGACGGCGCGTCAGTAAAAGGGCTTAAAAACAGCGGGGGGGGGGGGGGGGGGGGAGGATTCGCCAAGGAGCAAAGGTCCTCTGCCTCGCTGCTCAGGGGCGGCGTGTTTGCACGGCTCTGCGCCAAGCGGACCCGGTGCAGCGCTGGCAGACCTCGGCTGCAGGAGGGGAAAGGGTGGATTGAGCAAGGATCCTGCTTAACCTCGTCCTACTGGGTTTTGGGGCTCTTGTTTTTCCGCATTGACACCCCTGGGCGTAGGCTTGCGAGGGTCCTGAAGGCGTCTCCTTCCCGCAGGCCAAGCTGAAGAACATGGAGACCACCCTGCGGGATAAAGTGAAGGATTTCGGGGCCGTGCATCGCTCCTACGAGTCCATCTCCAAGCACAATCAGGTGCGTGGGTCCCTCCTGGCAGGGAGGCGAAGGGCTTGATCCTGACGCAGGCGGGTGCACGCGCGTGTGCACGCGCCTTTGGGCAGGAACGCCCTGGGGTGGAGCGCTGCGCCCATCCCGGGCTCCTCCACCCCTGAGCGAGGAGAGAGATGCTGGGGGGGGGGGAGGAAGGACTCGGGTGGGGAATTGGGGACCAGGGTGATGGGGCCGTGCCTGCTGTGGCAGCAGGGATATTGATTTGGGGAGGGCAACGTGGTGCCAGTGGAGAGCCCAGCGCGTCCCTGAGCGCTGGGGCTGGTCGGAGAGGTTCTGGAGAAGCATTTAGGGGAAGGACAGGGGAGCCCAGGGGCGTCGGGGGTTCCAAAGGGTGGTGGTGACGTCCCCACACGGGCCAGGTGGAAGCAGCGCGGCTGGAGGAGCAGATCAAGAGGGAGTTTGAGAAGCTGCACGAGTTCCTGCGGCACGAGGAGAAGGCGCTGCTGGCCCAGGTGCAGGAGGAGACGCGGCGCAAGCACGGCATCATCGCGGACAAGATGAAGCAGCTGGCCGAGGACAGCCAGGCCCTGCTCAGGGAAGCCTGCCAGCTCCGGGCGGACCTCAAGGAGAATGACTACACCTTCCTCATGGTAAATCCCCGCGGAGGTGCTGCCCCGTGCCCTTCGGGGTGTCACCCTCGCCGTGGCACCTTCCCGCCTCTTGCCGGGCTGCGAGCAGGGCGCTGGACATTCCTTTGGGTGTTTGCAAGCCTCCCCCATGACCCTTTTACAAATAGGGGGGGTCTGATGCCCGATGTCTCCTTCTCTTTCAGAACCACAAGAACCGCAAGCGCAGGTAAGTCCCAGTCCCCGCCGCGTCGCCTGCCCGGTGACACAGAGTGGCTGAGCCCCTGTGTCCCCTCCCTGGGGCTGAACAGGGTCTCCTGCCTGGCTGCAGAGTGAGGTCTCTGCCCCAAGTAGGTTCCCCTACCTACGTGTCCCCTCCAGGTTTGGGTGCTCCAACAGAAGAAGGTGCTGGAGGGGTCCCCAAGGCCCGGCAGCACCCCTGGGTGCCTCTGGGCAGGATGGGGTGGAGGGGGCGCACATGCAGAAATAAAACAGCATTGCAGGTTGTGGGAGAAGCGTTAAAACCCTGATGTTGGGGGAGATTTGGTGCTGGGACCCTCCTGGGGTGATTCACCACCCTCTTGGGGTGAGAGCAAGGTTTGGGAGATGTGGGGTGCTGGTGGGGAAGCCGCTGCCAAAACACGGAGCGCCAGGAGACCCAGCCTGATCGCAGCCCTGACCCATCTCCATCCTCTGCCCCTGCTCCAGGATCGCCTGCACGGCCGAGGAACCGGAGGCCGTGTCCTCAGGGATGCTCCTCGATGTTGCCAAGTACCTGGGCTCGCTGCAGTACAACGTGTGGAAGAAGATGCTGGACATCATCACCATAGGTGAGGTGCTGGGTCCTCCCCAACACGTGGTTGTCCCGGAGCTGAAAGCGTGGGGCCAGCCCCAGGGGTGGTGGGTGCTGGAGAGGAGCATGGAGCAGCCCCATGGCCACAGCTGATGGACCTGGGGAAGGGGGGTTGGAGAGCATAAAGGGTGCTTTGGGGCACTTGCACCCCAAAAGGGAAGCCTTGATGGGTGCATTTCTCCATGGTGAGCTGGGTTAGGAAAGGATGGATGGGATGGATGGGTGGTGGGTGGGTGGATGGATGGATGGAGGGATGGGTGGACGGATGGATGGGTGGGTGGGTGGATGGAAGGATGGAAGGAAGGATGGAAGGAAGGATGGAAGGAAGGATGGAAGGAAGGATGGAAGGAAGGATGGAAGGAAGGATGGAAGGAAGGATGGAAGGAAGGATGGAAGGAAGGATGGAAGGAAGGATGGAAGGATGGGTGGATGGGTGGGTGGATGGGTGGGTGGGAGGATGGATGAAAGGAAGGAAGGAAGGATGGATGGGAGGATGGATGGATGGGAGGGTGGGTGGATGGATGGAAGGAAGGATGGATGGATGGGAGGATGGATGGGTGGATGGGAGGAAGGAAGGATGGGAGAATGGATGGGTGGGTGGATGGGTGGGTGGATGGGAGGAAGGAAGGATGGGAGGATGGATGGGTGGGTGGATGGATGGATGGATGGATACCTGCAGGTCTGTGGTCCCCCCATAAGCTCATCCCCCTGCAGCAAGCCGGCCTCCTAACACGCATGCCCCCACCACAGTCCCTTTCAGCTTTGACCCCAACTCCGCGGCGAACTGGCTCTCGGTGTCCGAGGACCTCACCAGCGTCACCAACAGCAGCTACAAGCTGCTGGTGGAGAATCCCGAGCGCTTCACCTCGGCCCCCTGCATCCTGGGCTCCTGCGGCTTCTCCACCGGCTTCCACACCTGGGAGGTTGACCTGGGTGGCATCACAAACTGGCGGGTGGGGGTGGCCCAGCCCCGCGGTGGCACCCACTGGACCTTCCACCACGACGCTCGCTCCGGCTTCTGGTATATCTACCGCCTGCCCGGGAAGGATGGCGAGATGTGCCGGGCGTCCAACACGGCGCGTTCGGAGGCGGCGCTGGGTGACCTGAGACGGGTCCGGGTGGAGCTGGACTGCGACGAAGGGGAGCTCTCCTTCTACAACGCCGACAGCAAGACCCACATCTACACCTTCCACGAGAATTTCGGCGGCACCGTCTTCCCCTACTTCTACGTGGGGGCCACGCCGACGGGCGCGCTGCCCGAGGCCCTCCGCATCTGTCCCCTCCGGGTCCGCATCCACGAGGATGTCCCTGTCTAGTGGCCACCAGCTCCTGCCACACCACCGCCTCTGCCTGCATTTGGGGTCCTCCAGGTGCTTTTTCAGCTTTCTTAAGAGAGGAGGGGAAAAAAAAAAAGAAGGAAAAAAGATTTTATAAAGAATTTATGTATGTACTGCCTCTTTTTTTTTTTTTATCACTAATAAACACTTTTCTCTTCTGATATGGCTCCTTCCCTGCCTCCTTCCATCTTGGATCAAAGCGGGGAAGGTATCTCCTTGCCTGGGGGCTCTAAATAGTAAATTAAACCGTCTGGGGGGGTTTTCTAAGTGTGCAGCTTGCCAGGCTCCAAGTGTCCCTGCGGTGGGTAAAGCAGGGGACGGTGGCCTTTGCCCACACACCTCGGGGATGGGAAAATCCCACACGGCTTGGCTGGACACAGGCAGAAGCCTGTGTTTCCCCTCTACAAGAAAAAAAACCCCAAAATGTTAACAGAGACATCCTTGAGAGTAACAACCCATCTCCTCTGATCCTTCTCCCCATGACTTTACCCCTCCGAAGGGCTTTTCTGTAAATCGCCAGCTCCAGGAGTCAGGTGATGACGTGCGGGTGGTGGTTGGAGGTGGAGGGGGGATGCTCAGAGGTGGGATGAGGGGAGATAAAAACCACCCGCGGCCACCCCGTGCTGGGCCTGGTGTCAATCCTGCCAAAAAAAGGCTTTTTTCCTCCATCCTGGTGAGCACTTCGGGTTTCAAGGTGATGCCCTGGGGAGGGGGAGGGTGTCTGGAGGGGCCGCGTTGGCTTCGGTGCCTGGCGCAGCCCGGCCGGCCGGGACCTGCCTGCCAGGATGCTGATATTAACGGGTGGTTTCCATGGTTTCTCACCATTTTGCATAGGATGCTCCTTAGGAACGAGAGCTGGCAGCGGAAAAACAAAAGGGAGATGTCGGAGGCGTGCGGTGCGGGGGCGAGCCCGGGGGGGTCCTCTGCTTTCCTTACGTCGGCTGACGTTATCCATTTCCAACCGAGCATCCCTGGATACGGGGCAGGGAAAGAGGAAAATCAGTGCGAGCATCCCATCTCCCTTCCTGCGCCGTACCCCGATGCTGCGCATCCCCCCCCCCCCCCAGCAGAAAGCTGGTGCTGCCTGGAAATTTGGGCATCCCGTGGCCACTTTGAGCAGAAGCAAGGAGTTTGTTGGAAATGAGAAAAAGCTGGTGAAGCTCTTCGAGGCGCCGGCGCTGGAGCAGGATGAGGCGTTTCTCTTTGTCAGGTCCGAAGGGAGCGTTTCCCTCCGGCGGCTGCGAGTGCCAGAGCAGGTGCCTGGCACAAAAAAAAAAAAAAAATGGCAATAAAGGGTGAAATGAGGCATCGCTTCAGATGACGAAACTGAAATATTTTAACTTTTTTTCTAAATCATCTGTTGAAAAACCGGTTTGCAGGAAACAATATGAATTAATGAACTGGTTGGCTCCCTAAGACTCTGTGGTTTTTAGCGTCATAAACAATCCCTGCGTCTTCCCCTGAGCTTAATTTCATTCCCACGGAGGCAGAGAAATGGCTTTAAGTGGAAACCTAAAGCCCGCAGCGATGGGCGATGTCTCCCCAGGACTGAGCGTTTGCTCGCACATCTGATATCGGGGGAGAAATTTGGGGAAAGCTCCGGTAAGGGGCAGGGGGGTTTTGCATGGGACCCTCCTTTGCAGCCATCGCATCCTTCCCCAACCCCCGAGATCCCACCCGGGACACGCCGGTTACTTGCAGGACCTTTTCCATGCTCAAACCTTCCTCCTTGCAGCAATTAGAAGAGTCTCATTAATTATTATTTTTGTCATTGCTAATATTTTAGCATCATTTTTAGCTCCTGGCGCCTGAGGAAAGGGGTTTGATCCCCCGATCCCTGCGGGCTGCCCGGGATCCCGATCCCCGTCCATCCCAGTGCTGCTCCCCTGCGAGGGGTGGGTGGGCACCCACGCTGGGTGGGCGTGGGGTGAGAGTGGGGCTCCCCGGCATCTGGGTGGGGAAAGGGAGCGTGATTCCAACCGGGGGGAGGGCTGAGGTTGCTGCAATGAAGCCCCCCACCCCCCCATTAGACTGTACTGACACCCCCTCACCCCACCCCAACATCTTCCCCCCCCCCAATTTATAGGGACGGGAGATATTTCGGAGAAGCAGGCTGCTCTCCCATTGGCTCGCAGCGCGGCGATGATGTCATTTCTACCCAATCCGAGGGAGGACAGCACCTTTTCCCCGCCCCCCACCCCCCGCTCCCCCCCCCCGCCCCGGGTACCAACCAGCGCTGGGGCCGGTGCATCCCGGAGGGGTATAGGGGGGCAAGTGGGGGGACACCCCCCACCCCCCAAAAAAAGGAGGTTTCCCGGGGTGTGCGAAGCCCTCGGGCAGCCCCGGGGGATGCAGGGGCTTGGGGACAGATCCTGCACCCGGCTCAGCGCTGGGGACAGGCGGGTTGGGGCTAAATCCTGTGCCCTGAGGGCTGGGATCTGTTGGCGGCTCCGCCGGCTCTTCCCAGGGCCAGGAATCCTCTGGGATAAGGAGGATCCAACCCTGTGGGTTTTTTTTCCTGAAGGATCTGCAGCTACTGAACCCTTGGGGGGAGGTTGGAGGTGTCCTGGGAGAGGAATTGAGGAGGGAAGGGGCGGGGGGAATGTGAGGATGCAACCCTCCGAGCGTGGCTGGAGGATGGGAAAAGGCTCGCGGGAAACACCACAGAGGCTCGCCCCATCCTTAGGGACTCCCCCAGATTCCTGCTTTTGGCAGAGGGACATCCCGGGACACACGGACCTTCCCCACGGCCATCCTTGTGGTCCAGCCCACGCGGGCTTTTGCCATCTCTCCCACCCGCGCCTGGGGAGGGTTGGGATGCTGCTACTGGGATTCCGAGCAAGTTTCCCTGAGCTGGAGGGCTGCGGCCATGGGAAGAGCAAACCCTTCACCTCCCCCGGCCTCCTCTCGCTGCTGGGGCTCTTTCCTCCCCAGCATCAGCCTGGCTCCACGGCCAACCTCCCCTCCTGCCACCTCCTGCCACCTCCTGCGGTCCCACGCCAGGCTGACCCCGGTGAGGGTTTAGTGGGGACGATGTGGGTGGGAAAGGGGTGGCCCCCCCGCTGCAGACCCCAATCGCCCTGGGTATCTCCCAAAATCTCCTTGGCCTCCCTTTTTCTGCGCCTCGTTTAGACCAGCACATGCTGCCGGGATTAAAAAAAAAAAAAAAAAAGAGAGAGAAAAAAAGAAAGAAAACAACAGTTCCCAGCGTTGGAGCAGCCAGGATGTTGGCAGGGTGGAGGGTGACAGCCCTGGGGGGTGGTGGTCACCAAGTGTCCCCAGAGCCACAGGGGTTCCAGGAGCTGAAACCAAGCTCTGTGTCACCCCCCCCCCCTCCCCCCCGCCCCTAAACGCTGCTCCTGTGGAGCTGGGGAACAAGGAGGCACCTCCAGATGTGACACCCCCCCCCCAGCACCAACCCTGGCTCCAGCCAGCCGTGGAGCTGAACCACGGGCGCTGACGCCGGGCGGGAGGGAGGGGGTTTGCACCCCGAGCCTGGGCCAACGGGGAGCTCAAAGGAGCATTTGAGCAGAGCCCCCTGCACCCCCCCCCCCCCCCATCCCACCACGAGGTGCCACGCCGCCCGGTGCCAGCCACACAACAGGGACCGTCCCACAGCCACCTGGGGCCCCACAATGGCTGTTTGTCCCCCAGTTGGCTGCTGTGCCTTGACCCTTTCCCCCCCCCTGCCCCCCCCCCCCCACCTCCGCCGCCTCTCCCCTCCCTCCTTGGCCCCGCCGTTTCGGGGCTGTGCTCCGTTCCCTCTGCCCACAGGCACCCTACCCACGCCTTGAGTGGGCACCCGGACCCTGCCGAGCTGAAGGGGGGGGGGGGGGAACAGTCGGGGGTGGGGGGCACATCCAGCGTGGAGCTCGCTCGTCAACCCAAACGTTAGAGGATCCTTCGGCGGGAAGCGATGCGCCGTCGAGTTTCAGCTGAGTGGCCGTGTCACACGTGGGGATGTCACACCACCCCCCCCCCCCCCCGCTTTCCAGCTGGGTCACCCCGTCCTTCACCACGCCGTGAGGGATTAGCAAAGCCACCCTATTTTCGTTTTTTTTTTTTTTTTCCAGGGGAAAGAGGGGGACACACCACCTCCCCACGGCCGCCCTGACGCTCGTTACATAACGGAGGAGACCGGTGCCTAAATAAACCCGCACGGTTCCCCGGAGGTGCCGGGCTTGTGATCGCCGTCAACCGCGGCCGTCGGCGATAAATAGGCCAGGGTGAAGCAGATCTGGGGGAAGGAGAGTCAATTTATAGGAAGGGCACAGCCCTAAGAGGTGTCCTAGCTCTGCTGGGGCTCCCCAGGGACCCCCCGCTCACCCCGGCATCGCACCAAAATAATTTCGGGATCTGGGACTCGTCGCCCGGTTTGCAGAAGGAGGATGACGTGTCCCCGCGTGCCTTTGGGGCTGGGAACGGGTCACAGTGGGCCGGTGCCTCATCCCGGCCCTGGGAGGATGGGGAGGGCACCCCATTTCTCCCCCTGACACCCCACAGCCCGTGCCGGCGTGGGGCAGGAGGGGGGCCGGGGGTGGGGTGGGGTGGGGGGTTTGGCCCCGCTGGAGATGCCACCAGACCCCCATTAAACCCTCCGAGTCCCCTTCTTTGTCACTTTGTCACTCTCCAGCTTTGTCCTGCTCTAGCAGAGAGCCAACGCTTGCTTCCCACCACGCGCTCAGCCCTTTCAACCCATCACCCCCCTTCTAGAACCCCCCCAAACCCCCTTTTTCAGGCTGAATTCAGCCCCTCCCTTTGCCTCCACGACCCCCCTTCGCTCCCCCCTCCCCTCCCCCCTTTTTAATGTGGGGTGGTTTTTGGGTAATTTCCCCCCCACACCTCCTTTTTTTTTTTTTTTTTTTTTTTTTTTTTTTTTTTTTTTTTTTTTTTTCCCAGGCCCAGCCCAAAAATAGCTGCTCGGCGTGATGTCACCGGGCTGGTACCCGGTTCGTACAGTCCCTGGGCCAATCAGAGGCGGCGGTTCGGCTGCGCCAATCGCCGGCCGGGGAGGTGATGTCATGGGGGGGAGGCGGGGGGGGGGCTCTAGGGGCCCCCCGGGTGGGATGCTCCGCGCAAACCCCCCGCACCCGCGTTAAATGAGCCCGGAGAGCGCGGAGAAGCAGCCCAAGCGCCGGCGGTGGGGTGAGTGTCGCGGGGGTGGTTTTTTTTTTTTTTTTTGGGGGGGGGGGAGGGGGGGATGTTTTTTGGAAGGCGAAGGGTTGAAAAGTTTTTGGGGAGGGGTTTTGGGGTGTGTGGGGGGGGAATTTTTTCAGGGGGTTCCTGGCTGTCACGACACCCCTCTTTGTCCTCATTCCTCCAGCATCCTCCTCGCCGTGCAGGGGGCAGCCCCCCAGCCCAACATTTTGGGGTGCTACCCCCCCTCACCACACACACCCCCCCACACCCCTCCCGTGGCCACCGACCCCAGCAGGCACGGAGCAACCCGCGCCCACGGTGCGTGGGGCGCAGGGCTGGGGCTCAGCATCTTCCGTCTCACCTCGCTCCAGCATCCCCGGGGTGGGGGGGATTCGGCACCCTCAGGACCCCCGGGGGGGGGGGGGTGTCGCCTCACCCAGACCACCCCCCCCCCCAAATGTGGGCGCAGGGGCGCGGATCCCCCACCCACCCCGCGGAGGGCAGCACCAGCCTGAATTATTGATGGTGGCAGGATGCTGGCGGAGGTGACCTGCTTTCAGCAGGCGCTGAAATATTTATTTCAGGGAGGGGGGAAAAACGAGGGGGAGGAAGGGAGGAGGCAGCTGCCATCCTGCCCCCCCCCCCCCCTCCCCTCCTTAGCGGAGGGCGGGGGGGAAAGCATCCATCCATCCCTTCAGAGAGAGTGGGGACCCCCCCCTCCATCCCCTCCCTCCATCACTGGGGCGCTTTTTCCAGGGAAAGGGGCTGGGAGATATGGGGGGGGGGGGGTAGGGGTGGGGGGTGGTGTTCCCCCAGCGTCTCAGGGGTTCTACAGTGGAGATGGGGGGGGGGGGGGAAAAGGGGGTTGGAACCCTTTTGGGGCCGGATCGGGCCCCCTCCTCCCTGCCACGTGCGCCTCGAGGGGAGTGGGCTCGCTCCCGCAGCCTCTCCACGCTGGGGGTTTGAGCGAGGTTTCAGCTTGAGGGTGACAGATTTCAGCCGGGGGGGGGACACTGGGGACTGAGGGGGGGTGTGACAGCAACGGCAGGGCCCCAACCCCACCCTGCTTCCCTTTGGGCTGGGGGTGGGAAAAGAGCTCAGCAGGGAGGGGGGTTTCCCTCTCGGAGGAGCCTCCAAACACCTTGACCAGCATCTTCATCCAGCGAGGAGGAGGAGTGGGGGGTGGCAGCCCACCCGCCTGCCTCCGCTCCAGCCGGCGGCACCCCCCCCGGGGATGGACCCCATCTTCCCCCCCCCCCGTTTTGGATCTGATGGGTGATCACAGCATTTTATCCCCCCCAGCCAGGGCGTTAACGCCACGGGAGGGCTGGGAGAAGGGGGGTTGGTAGTATAAAATAGGTCCAGGCCCCTCCCCGCCCCCCCCCCCCCCCCCCCAAACCCCCTGGCAAACCCAGAGATTAAAAAAAAAAAAAAAAAAAAAAAGAAAATTTGGGGTGGCAACGTAAGGAGTGGGGAGGCAAGAGCCAGGCAAACGCTTTCAGCTGCCTGATCGCAGCTTCGAGCCGGGCTGTCAGAGCTCAGGGCACAACCTCGTGTCGGCATACGAGCTGTCAGAGAATCCCCACCCCGCTTGGCAAGAGCCGCCTCGGGTAAAACCCTTCATCCAGGCGAGGAGAAAAAACCCTGGGGGGGGGGGGGGTAACCCCCAAACCCAACCAGCCCTGGCACTGGGGGTCACTGAAAAAAAAGGAAAAGCCTCCCCAGGGAAAGTGTCCCCCTCAAGGTGTCCCCCCAATTTATCCCTGTCGTGTCCCCCCCCCCCCCCTCAGCTCCACCAACCTCTGGTAGGTCCCAGCAGGATGGGGGAGGAGGGGGTTGGTTGGGATTTTTTGGGACCCCCCCCCCCCCCAAGGTCGAGCTGGGTTGGGGTGTGATGTGGCTGTGGGAGCTGGCAGCACCCTGACAGCCCCGGGGTACCCACGGGGGGAGGGAATTGCCCCTTCCCTGGGGGGCTGCAAGGATTTTAGAGTCCCTATTGTAAAGAAGGGAATTTTATATATATATATTTAATATATATTTATACATATTTAAATATATATTTTATATGAATATCTATAAATATATATGTGTATATATATATATTTTTTTTTTTTTCCCCCTTAGAAACAAAACCCATGAATAATTCCAACCCCCCAAACTCAGCCCCCACTTTGGGAAGGGCATTTCCACGGGGGAACCCCTCTGATGGCTCCCACACCCCATTTGTGTCCCCCGCAGACCCTGACAAATTTGGGGGGGGGGGGGGGAAGGGGGTAACCCCGCTTTAATCCAGGTTTTAATGAGTCTCTGGGTGCTGCCGCCCCCACGCCAGGCTCTGAGTCCCCGGGGATGGGTGGGGGGTGTCCCCGGGGGCCTGACCCACAGTCTCGGGCCCCCCCCCCCCCCGGGAGGTGCTGGGGGGACGTGGGGGAGGGGGCCGGTGTGCCAGCCCTTGGGGTGGCAAAGGGGCGAGCTGAGGACTGGGGCTCTCAAGACACGAGTGGGGGGGGGGGTGTTGGGAGAAGGGGTCACGCCTGTCTGGGGGGTGTGGGGGTGCGTGTGGGGTGTGTGTGTGTGGGGGGGTGTGTGCGTGTCCACGCGGCTCCCAGCACGGGTGGGCACACGGGTGGGTTGTGCAGCCACCGGGCAGCACCAGGCTGGGGGGGGGATGAGCATGCCCCGTGCCCCCCCAGCTGTGGCCACCGTCCCAGTGCATGCCCAGTATGCCACACCAGTGCGTGCCCATCCCACCAGTGTGTGCCCATCTCACCAGTGTGTGCCCATCCCACCAGTGTGTGCCCATCTCACCAGTTTGTGCCCATCTCACCAGTGCGTGCCCATCACACCGGTGCGTGCCCATCCCACCAGTGTGCGCGCCCATCTCACCAGTGTGTGCCCATCTCACCAGTGTGTGCCCAGTATGCCAGACCAGTGCGTGCCCATCACACCAGTGCATGCCCATTGTCCCAGTGTGTGCCCATCACGCCACACCGGTGTGTGCCCACCATCCCAGTGCGTGCCCATTGCACCAGTGTGTGCCCAGTATGCCTCACCAGTGTGTGCCCATCACACCAGTGTGTGTCCATCATCCCAGCGTGTGCCCATCGCACCAGTGTGTGCCCATCACGCTACACCAGTGTGTGCCCATCATCCCAGTGTGTGCCCATTGTCCCAATGTGTGCCCATCTCATCTCACCAGCACGTGCCCATCACCCCAGCACGTGCCCATCACCCCAGTGCGTGCCCATCATCCCAGCACACGCCCATCTCACCAGTGCATGCCCATCACACCAGTGTGTGCCCATCACGCTACACCGGTGCGTGCCCATCATCCCAGCGTGTGCCCATTGTCCCAATGTGTGCCCATCTCATCTCACCAGCACGTGCCCATCACCCCCAGTTCATGCCCATCATCCCAGCACGTGCCCATTGTCCCAGTGCGTGCCCATCTCATCTCATCTCACCAGCACGTGCCCATCACCCCAGAGCGTGCCCATCTCACGAGTTCATGCCCATCATCCCAGTGCGTGCCCATCTCATCGTCCCAATGTGTGCCCGTCATCCCAGTGCGTGCCCATCGCACCAGTGTGTGCCCATCATCCCAGTGCGTGCCCATTGTCCCAGTGCGTGCCCATCTCATCTCATCTCACCAGCACGTGCCCATCACCCCAGAGCGTGCCCATCTCACCAGTTCATGCCCATCTCACCAGTGCGTGCCCATCGCACCAGTGTGTGCCCATCATGCCACACCAGTGCGTGCCCATCATCCCAGCGCGTGCCCATTGTCCCAGCGTGTGCCCATCTCATCTCATCTCACCAGAGCGTGCCCATCTCACTAGTTCATGATCATCATCCCAGTTCATGCCCATCATCCCAGTGTGTGCTCATTGTCCCAGTGCATGCCCGTCTCATCTCACCAGCGCGTGCCCATCACCCCAGAGTGTGCCCATCTCACCAATGCGTGCCCATCATCCCAGCGCGTGCCCATCTCACCAGTGTGTGCCCATCTCACCAGTTCATGCCCATCATCCCAGCGCATGCCCATCGCACCAGTGTGTGCCCATCACGCCACACCGGTGCGTGCCCATCGTCCCAGTGTGTGCCCATTGTCCCAATGTGTGCCCATCTCATCTCACCAGCATGTGCCCATCACCCCCAGTGCGTGCCCATCATCCCAGCGCCTGCCCATTGTCCCAATGTGTGCCCATCTCATCTCACCAGCGCGTGCCCATCACCCCAGAGCGTGCCCATCTCACCAGCACGTGCCCATCTCACCAGTTCATGCCCATCATCCCAGCGCGTGCCCATCGCACCAGTGTGTGCCCATCATGCCACACCAGTGCGTGCCCATCATCCCAGCGCGTGCCCATTGTCCCAGCGTGTGCCCATCTCATCTCATCTCACCAGAGCGTGCCCATCTCACTAGTTCATGCTCATCATCCCAGTTCATGCCCATCATCCCAGCGCGTGCCCATCTCATCGTCCCAATGCGTGCCCATCATCCCAGTGCGTGCCCATCATCCCAGTGCGTGCCCATTGTCCCAGTGCGTGCCCATCTCATCTCATCTCACCAGCACGTGCCCATCACCCCAGAGCGTGCCCATCTCACCAGTTCATGCCCATCTCACCAGTGCGTGCCCATCGCACCAGTGTGTGCCCATCACGCCACACCAGTGCGTGCCCATCATCCCAGCGCGTGCCCATTGTCCCAGCGTGTGCCCATCTCATCTCATCTCACCAGAGCGTGCCCATCTCACTAGTTCATGCTCATCATCCCAGTTCATGCCCATCATCCCAGCGCGTGCCCATTGTCCCAGTGCATGCCCGTCTCATCTCATCTCATCTCATCTCATCTCATCTCATCTCATCTCATCTCATCTCATCTCATCTCATCTCATCTCATCTCATCTCACCAGAGTGTGCCCATCTCACTAGTTCATGATCATCATCCCAGCACGTGCCCATTGTCCCAGTGCGTGCCCATCTCATTTCACCAGCGTGTGCCCCTCACCCCAGTGCGTGCCCATCTCACCAGTTCATGCCCGTCATCCCAGTGCGTGCCCATCTCACCAGTGTGTGCCCATCACACCAGTGCGTGCCCATCGCACCAGTGTGTGCCCATCACGCCACACCAGTGCGTGCCCATCATCCCAGCGCGTGCCCATTGTCCCAATGTGTGCCCATCTCATCTCACCAGCGCGTGCCCGTCACCCCAGTTCGTGCCCATCTCACCAGTTCATGCCTGTCACCCCAGTTCGTGCCCATCTCACCAGTTCGTGCCCATCTCACCAGTTCATGCCCCTCGCCCCAGGACGTGCCCCCCCCTGCCCCCCGCATGCCCAGCGTGCGGGTGGGCCCGGGCGGTGCTGGCCGATGTCCCCAGCCCCCGGGACACCCCTCGCTGAGCCGGGCTCTTCCCTCCCCCAGGGACACTCTTGCTGCAGACGCCCAAGGAGCTCCACGCCATGACTCTGGCCGGTACGACACCATCACGGGGCCACGCGTGGGGACGGGGAGGGGGGGGGTGACACACACACAGAGCACGGTTTGCCCACCCCCCAGGTACCCAGAACCTACCCCAGGCCAACCCCTGCCCTGGGCTCCTCACACCATCCCAGTGGTGACCGGCGAGGGGCTGCGCATGTAGTTAACATGCCAGGACAGACATAACTCATGTGGCCACCCCCCCTCCCACTTCTGCGTGCCTCAGTTTCCCCTTTGCATGCCTTGCTTCCCCCCCCCAGATCACCCTGCTTGCAATATCTGGGCAAACTTCGGTGCCAGCCGCTGTCCCCATCCCAACGTGGCAGCCCTGGGTGCAGACGCCTGGCAGGACCCCCCCCCACCCACCCACCCACACCCCCCCCGACCCCAATCCCACTGTCTTTTCCCAGCGTACAAAGAGAAGATGAAGGAGCTGCCTCTCGTCTCCCTCTTTTGCTCCTGTTTCCTCTCGGACCCCCTGAACAAGCCGGCGTACACGTATGAAGGTGAGAGCCCACCGCCCACCCACCGTTGGGGGGTGAGTGGTACATGAATAATGGGGGGCTGCGGATCCCCCATCCCCCCCCCCTTGGCAGGAGTGACCCTCAAACCAAGAGAATTGGCTCCAGTTTGCTGGCACTGGCTGGAAGCAGAGGGTTGGGTTGGGGTTGGGGTTGGGTTGGGGTTGGGGTTGGGGTTGGGGTTGGGTTTGGGGTTGGGTTGGGGTTGGGGGGGCACAGGCAGCCCCGCAGCCCCCCCCCAACTTTCTGCCACGACTCCACCTCACGAAGCGTCGGGCGTGGGCTCGGTATTTTTAGGCAGACGGTGCCGAGTGATTCAGACTGATTTATGTCAGCGAGCCCAGAGGCAGCAGCGGTGACGGAGGAGGGTGCCCGGATTTGGGGGGCTCCTCCTGGACCCCTCCTGCGGCGGGGGGGCGGCGGGGGGGGGGGACACCCACAGCTGGAAAGGGGCTTCATGGTCCCGTTCCCACTCCCCGAAGCAGGACTGAGCTCTGCCCTGCTCGCTCGCCTCTCCCTCGGGAGGGATACCCAGCCCCCCAGCTCACCCAAACATTCCCAGCTTGGGATTCCCAGTTTTGGGAGTGTGTCCCCCCCCCCCCCCCCCGCCCCAAACCCCCATCACTGGGGCTGAACCACACTGGGTGCGTTCGGGGAGCGGGGATTGAAACCCCTGGAGATTGGAGAAAGCGGTGGCCCATTGAAGTGGGGGGGGGGGGGGAGGCTCAGGTCTATGACCCCAAGACGGTTTGCCCGAAGGGGTGGGATGCGCCGCCCTCAATCCCGCTGCCCCTCTCCCCAGCAGACACGGTTGACCTCACCTGGTGCGTCATCTCCGACATGGAAGTCATCGAGCTCAACAAGCGCACCTCGGGGCAGTCCTTCGAGGTCATCCTCAAGCCCCCCTCGTTCGACGGCGTCCCCGAGTTCAACGCCTCCCTGCCCCGCCGGCGCGACCCGTCCCTGGAGGAGATCCAGAAGAAGCTGGAGGCGGCGGAGGAGAGGAGGAAGGTAAGCCTGGCAGCTTACGTGCGGCACTTTTCCCCCCCGGGGACACGCAACCTGGCACTGGGGGTGCTCACTCACCAAGGGGCGCCCGCCTCCGGGGACGCGGCTGAGTTTGGAGAGGGTGGGTTTGGCCAGGAGGGGAAGGGACCCACGGTCCCCACGGCCATCGTGTCCTCTTTACCCGTGCAGTACCAAGAGGCCGAGCTGCTGAAGCACCTGGCGGAGAAGCGGGAGCACGAGCGGGAGGTCATCCAGAAGGCCATCGAGGAGAACAACAACTTCATCAAAATGGCCAAAGAGAAGCTGGCGCAGAAGATGGAGTCCAACAAGGAGAACCGGGAGGCCCACTTAGCGGCCATGCTGGAGCGTTTGCAGGAGAAGGTGAGAGCCTGGGGAGGAGGGACACGCTGGGCCACCGACCCAGGAGGGTGTCACAGGATGCTTGGGCACCCTGCATGGCTTTTGGGGTGGCGTTACCCTCCGGGGACACCACCAAAGTGGGACCCCCCCCCCCTCCTCCTTGCCCACCACGCAGCAATACCCAAACACGACATCCCAGCCGGGGTGGGGGGGTCCTGCCTGGGGACCCACCGAGCCTGATGTGTGTCCGTAGGCTCCACGAGCGGTCGGCGGGTGGAGAGCTGGGACCCGTAGCTTGCCCGCAGACACGCAAAGGCTTTGCTTACCCCACCCCGTCCCACCACGATGGCCTTGACCCACCGCTTGCAATTTTCCCACCTCTCAGGTGGTAGATCTTCCCCTGGAGCCTTCCCCAGAGGCCGTGGAGCCGTCAGCTCCCCGGCAGAGCTGGAGGGGTCTGTGCTGCCACGTTAGGAGATGCTTCCACCCTGCCAGCCTCTGCAGACCTCTTCTCTCTCCCCGAAGCAGGTCTGTTCCCAACCTCAGCACGGAAGGTCCCACCCTCACCACCTCCAGCTCCCTCCAAAACATCCCTTCTGCAAGGAGCTCGCCCAGTGCCCTTCTCCAAACGCCTCAGCTAGCCTTGGGTCAGAGGCAGAGAGCACGAGATAATGAAGGACAATTCGAGCTAACCCCATCTCCTTGGGGCTCCCGGTCCATCCCGTCTGGTTGACGTCTACCTCCTAGCTAGAGGGCGAGGACAATCTGTCCCTGAGTGCCTCCACAGTCCTTAAAACACCCCAGGGGAGGAGAGGACGCTGTTGACCCATCGGTGGTGTCCCTCGGGGGATGAACCTCGCGAACGCCCTCGTGCCTTCGAACCCCTCCGAAGCCGCTGGCCTGCCCGTGGGGACCCCGAAGTCCGTCCAGCTAACGCGTGTGTGTCCCCCCCCCCCTCCTCCTCCTCCTCCTCCTTTCCTCCTACCCTCCCTCCTCCCCCCCCACAGGACAAACACGCGGAAGAAGTGAGGAAAAACAAGGAGCTCAAGGAAGAAGCCTCCAGGTAAAGAGGCGATGGTTGGACTGACAGCTCCGGGGAGGTGGCGGAGGCTGCCGCAAGCGCAAGGTCGGATGGTGGAAGGGTGGACGTTCCTCTGCTTTCTTTGTTCGTGAATGTAAAGAGTTGACAAGTGAAGCCATCCTATTCGTTTCGGGGAGGGTGGGGAGGGAGGAGGAAGAAGGGAGGGTGGGCGGGAGGGTGCCGGCTTCGGGATGCCCATCTCCTTGGTGGGTGTCACGCACCACCCGTCAACCAGGTCCGGAGGAGACAGCCGAGGGCTGGCGAAGCGGAGGAGGTGGCCTCCCCCCTCCCCCAGGGAAAAGCTGGTGTGTGTGTGTGTGTGGGGGGGGACACGGAGCAGGTGGGGAGGGAACGGGGCAGGGAAATGTGCGTCTTGTGTGACTTTAATTTAGTGCTGGGCAGGCAGGGTGGGCAGGCGGGCGGCCCTCCGACTTCTTTCTTCTCCTCCATCCCACCCCATCGATGGGCAGCGGCATCTCTTGGCGTCCCTCTCTCCTTTTTTCCCGCCTGGACTCAAGGCCTCTTGCCCAGAGCAGGCGTTATTTGCCCATAGACCTTACGGAACCATTTTGGGGAAGGGGGAGAAGAGATTCCCCCCCATTGGAGGTGGTCAGAGTGTGAGGCTCACTTGCTCCAAGGGCTTTATCCGGCCGTGGGAGATGCTGATGATCCTTTTCAAGGGTGAAATTGAAAATCCCCGTGACTTCCCAAAGAGCTGCTTTTTTTGTAAGAACCTGCTGAGAATCGTCTTTGTGGGAACTCCTGGATGAAGTCCCCTTTTCCACTGTGGAGCAGCTGGAGAGCCATCGGCTTAGAGGTTATTTGAAAAGGGAGATCAGCCCCACGGAGAGCGAGAGCAGGAGAGGAAAACAGGGCAGGGATGTGGAAAGGACAGGAAAAAAAAACAAGAGGGAAAGAGGAGCTGGGGGAGCCGAGGCTGGAGAGCCAGAGGTGGGATGGAGATGCCTCTCTGGAGAGCAGGAGAAGACAACAGCCATAGGGAGCCCCTGGGGACAGGGTTGGCACCTCCTGGTGACACCGGGGAAGACCGGGCTGGGACCCACCAACAGCTCCTGACCAGCCCAGAAGGTGTTTTAGGGGAGATGCCGTGCAATCTCCTGGGTGGTCGTTGCCTCCAGGGAGGGTGAGAGAAGCAGAGAGCTCGCAGTGAGATCCTTCTCGGCGGGAGAAGAAGGAGAGCCTGTTTTCTGTTGGGCGTGGGGTGGGTATGGCCCCTCCTCTCCCGGTTGCCAGCGGGCAGTGGTCCCAGTACCGCAACGCCCTGGCACCTCATCAGCCCCCAACCCTAATGCTAACAGAAGGTTTGGTCTCCGCTATGGCCAGGTAAAGGCTTTCCAAGCTCTGATTCAGGTCTGGAGGGAACCGTGTCTCTTTACCTGTGCAATGAGATGCTCGCCCGCACCCAGGAGCCCCGGGGGGGGGGACCAGCCCTTGGGGGGGGGGAGCATGGGAGAGGGTGGCGGGCGAAGGAGACGGAGGGGGCTGTTCTAGCTGTGGCACGAGCTGTCGTTTTTTTTTTTGTATACAACTGTTGTAAATAAACTGCCTTGGCATTTCTTTCGTTTTCTCATGATCTGTGCCGTGTCTTGTGTGGGGGTTTGTTGTTTTTTTGTTTTTTTTTTTTTTTTTTTTAGAGGGAGGAGGGGAGCATCCCAGTGTCGCTTACACTGGGAAGGGGAAAGGGACTGGGTAGGGAATTAAGGTGGGAGGCAGCACCGTGCATCAGGAGGATGGGTCTGTTTTACCCCAGTGCCCCAAACACCCCCAGCCTGGTGGGACTGCAGCAAATTTGAGCTCCTTTGTTCCCTCCAGCACTATCGGCCCCTTGCACACAACCACGCACCCCAGGGTCACCCCGTGCCCCGCTGGGGCACGCAGAGGTGATGCTCTCCCACTCTGGACCCAGAGCAAGGAGCTAGAGCCAAATTTTAACCGTGTGGTGGGAGATAAAGAGTTGGCCAGCACGGTGAGGAAGCACGGAGGTAGCTGGACATGTGCTGAAGTCTACGCTGAGGCTAGATGACCCATCCCGTGGTCGATCCACAGAGCAGGCAACAGCCAAATGTCAGGTTCTCAGGGCCAGAAGAAGAGCCAGGGGATTTATTCTTCTCCAGCCCTAAGGGGGAAGTGGAACCAAGTCCTCTCCCGTCTTTGCTCAGCCTGAGAGACATGATGCCACCAAAATTTAGGACCAGCCTCCCGGAGGGGACAAGTGTCCATTCCTCCTGGGCCAAGGAGGTCATTCTTGAGCAGACCTTCATCAATCTGGGCTAAAGAAGCCCCCTCTGACCTTGGGAAGCCTTGGAGGATGGATGTCCAACCCAGGAGCTGGTGATTCCACGGGTGTGGGTGGGATTTGGTACCAACATTAAGACAAATCCCAGGAGGGGATTCAGACCTCCCTAAGAACACAGCACCCGTGCTCAGGGGTCCCCATCGTGCCCAGGTGTAACAGCCATATCAAACAGGACAGTGCAAAAAAAGGGACATGGAATCAGTGTTGAGGTGGCAGAGTCCACCATGGTCATACGAACTGGTGGGGTGTGAGTTGACAACCCCCAAAAACCATGTGGGAGAGGATGTGGGGACAGCAGAAGAGCTTGTTACACTCAAGAAGGGAGGAGAAGCCACGGGCTCAGGAAAAAAGTAAGATGCATATATTTAGTACTGATGGTGGCAACAGGAATCTTGAAGCTGACTATCAGCAGACTTGTAGGAGCTGGGTAAGACTGCAGCAAATAAAATACTGGGTTGTTAGGTATATCATATTTGAATAAATAAAGAATACAATATATTGTTCTGCTCTAAGACTCTGTGCCATAGCCCACAACAGCATGTGCATGGGCACTGATATGGGCATGAAGGGATGCAGGAACCACGGCACAATTGAAAGGGGCACCCAAGCTGCGCTGAGGATGAAGAAAATAGGGAGAGACTAAAAGTCTTTCCTCTAAAGAGCCTTATAAAGCACTCAGAAGCTTTGAGGAGGGTAGCAGAGAAACGGGGAGCAGAGCCAGAAGAGCAGAGCTCTTCTTGGTCACGCCAAAGAGGATCAGGGTGAGACAAAACCAGGCAAAGCAAAATGCTGACAGTGTCAGGATGCACATTCTAGAAACTCTCGACTCTCTCCAGGCACCTGGAGCAGAAACACACCTCACCCGTGCCCAACTGCATCTCAGATCATCCTGCTCCATGGCCTGAACCCTGATGAATGTGGCCAGTGCTCCAGCAAAGACTCACAGAATCACAGACCGGTTTGGGTGGGAAGGGACCTTAAAGCCCCCCCAGTGGCACCCCCTGCCCTGGGCAGGGCCCCCTTCCCCCAGCCCAGGGGGCTCCCAGCCCCGTCCAACCTGGCCTTGAACCCTTCCAGGGAGGGGGCAGCCACAGCTGCTCTGGGCACCCTGGGCCAGCGCCTCGCCCCCCGCACAGGGAACGATTTCTTCTTTACATCTAATAGGAATCTCCCCTCTTTCAGTTTCAAAGCCATCACCCCTTGTCCTACCACTACACCCCCCTGATCCACAGTCCCTCCCCACTTTCCCTGTCCCCCCTTTAAGCCCTGGGAGGCCACTCTCAGGGTCCCCCCGGAGCCTTCTCTTCTCCAGGCTGAACCCCCCCAACTCTCTCAGCCCGGCCCCCCAGGGGAGCTGCTCCAGCCCCCCCAGCATCTCCGTGGCCTCCTCTGGCCCCGCTCGAGCAGCTCCGGGTCCTTCTGCTGTTGGGGGCCCCCGAGCTGGCCCCAGCACTGCAGGGGGGGCTCCCCAGAGCGGAGCAGAGGGGGACAATCCCCTCCCTCGACCTGCTGGGCTTGTTTTTCTCCCCTTGCTGCCAAGAGGGAGAGATAATGACGGCTTAGCCTAAAGACAGAGGTGGGCTGGATCTTCTTCCTGCATCCAGCTTTTTGTCCACCTCAGATAATCCCCTCCCTAAACTGATCACGTTTTAATCTCTTTTCCAGTGTTTTCAGCACTGCGATTTAGAATAGCTAAGGTTTAACTGCTCTGTTCTTCTCGCTCCCTGGCTCTTTCTCTCCACCCCCAAGGTATATGAAGATCCAGCCCTTTGGCTGTGGCCACCTCACCAAGGATTATTTGATGACCATCACACCTGGGCATCCTGCAACATTGGAGAGGAGGTAATGGAGACCTATATGGTAATGCCTATATGGCAGAGTCCTCTCTCAAAGCACCATCCTGCAGTCACAGCCATGACATACAAGGGGAAAGCACAAAGCAAAGGTTTGATGCCATCAAGAAACCTCCCAGGGAGATATTTCATGGCACTTGCCAGACTGTCAGGGCTGAGAACGGGTCAGACCTTCTGCACCTGATCCCACCTCTCCTGTTTGAAAAGCCAGATGCAATCCCACGCCTAAATCCCATCCCAAGCAAGAGCTGTGCTATGAGTTGCGCCTCCCGAACATCAGAGGATACCTGGGTGTCCTTCAGAGCAGACACGACAAGCGTCGCTGGATTGCTGACCTGTGTGTGAGGAAACAAGTGCCCACCATTGCGAAGTGACACAAAACAGGGCAAAGCACCTACAGAAACAGCATCCTGGAAGTGCCTCCGGGACACCGAGAGAAGAGGTGAATCCTCCTGCCACCAACCCGCTGCTGGGCTCTCGGAGCCTTCCCTGGCTCATGTGTCATCGACACTGTGAGGGACAGTTCTGCCTTTTGATGACCTTCCTCCAGTCCATAACCTCGTACTGGTTTCTCAGAAATTGCAAATCTGGACAAAGTACCAGCCATTCAATCGTGGTAAGCTGGCACCGGTGTGCAAGGGGTGCAGCTGGAGCGTTGGGCGTCATAACTAGCTGGGGCCTCTGCGGGGAACCTGTGGGGAAGTGATTATAACTGTTCAAGGGCAGAGATCATAGAATCACGGATTCACAGAATCATTTAGGTTGGAAAAGACCTTTCAGATCATCGAGTCCAACCGCTCGGCTCACCCTGCCGAGCCCACCACTAACCCACGTCCCCAGGCGCCACATCCACACGTCTTTTACATCCCTCCAGGGATGGGGACTCCACCACTGCCCTGGGCAGCCTGGGCCAGCGCTCGATAAACCTTTTGGTGAAGAAATTTTTTTCCTAATATCCAAACTAAAATGATGTTGTGTGAACTCCAAGCCAGTATGAAAATCATGTTCTCCTGTCTTTTCCTCTGGCGTGCAGATTATCTGTGCATGAGAAGTTGTTTGGGCAAGGTGGAGGAGTCATGTCTGATGTAGGACAATTCATCTTAGAGAGTGTACTCCAGTACGAATGATGTAATTGTAGGGGAGCTTTGGGGTGTAGAGTCTTGCAAAGACACCTGTACCCAGGCAACCATATCAGTAATGCCACAGAAGGGCAAGACTGACTCAATCATGACATCAGATATAACAAATTTGAGTTTGGATGTAGCAGATTTGGGACCAATAAGGAAAAAAAAAGAAGTAAGTAGGGGCAGATTGGGCTGAAAAAAAGTTCTAATGTAGAAATAGGAAACAAAAAAAAAAAAAAAAAAAAAAAGAGGAATAAGTTACGAAATCAGGTAGGGAACACAGAAGGATGGGATCTTTCGGTGGTCAGGGGAATGATGCCTACAGACGGTGGTGACATTGACCCGGGTACCCAACTGCGTGGGGAGCCCTTTGACAACTCACTGGTCTCTCCGTCAGGGCTGTGTCCGAAAGACTTAGTGCAAGAGGGTAAAAAGGGAGACACTTGCTACCCTGGCATGAAGAGGTGTGGGGAGAGAAGGACAGTGAAACTAATTCAACAGTGGTAGTATGAGATTCATAAGGTTTAAGAGCGATACCTTTATTGTTGTGTTTAATAACGTGTAAAACCAGATTGCAGATTAATAATGATAATGCGTTCGCTAGTTAATTAGGTTGTTGCTTATTCAAGGGATGTATTAGTCTCTTAGTAGGGTATTGCTTAACCAGGGGAGATCATGGACTTTTGAATGCCTGCAGTCCAAAGCAGGAAGGGCAGGTCCCGAAGGAAAGGCATTATATCACAGAAGAGTGTGCCACGAGGCAAGAAAGCTCTCCTCCCACTGCTGGTAGTGCCCAGGTGTTCATGGCAAGTGACGGTACAAGAGCAGCATAGACCAGCCCAGACCCCAAACGCCACCAGATATGTCTTGGGAACAACCCCCCACCCCCAAGGAAGACTACCAAGGCAAACCTAGCAGAGGAAAAGACAAATAATGCTGTTTTATTATTTTGGGGTTATTAGCTTGTAGGATTCTTGGAAGATAACTTCTTTGCCTGATTCGGTCATGAAAAATTAGGTTTCGGGCAAAACACAGTCCAGAATAGTGTAAAAGCTACAGAAACCATCAGGAAGCCAGCAGAGCATCAAACAGGAGACAGGTAGTTGGGAGGAACGGTGCTTTGACTCTAACACATCTGCCCTTCCCTTTCGCTGAACCTTCTTTGAACTCATCCGCACACATGAAACAGGAAAAAGGTAATTTAATTAAATATTCATCACCAAACACAATCAGGGCTGAGGCCCAGTCCCAGCCTCCAACTCTTGATCCTGCGAGGAGGCAAAGTCAGGAAAAAAAG